TAGGTCCTAGTTCTGGGGCTTGTAAGCCAAACCTCAGCACACTGAGAAATTGGAGCCCCTGGCACACTAAGGCACATCAGGCCTGAGGGTCACAGGTTTCACACGACCCTCGGATTGAGGTCAGGCATCAGGGATCAGGCTTGGCTCTTGCCAATCCTCTGACTTCCCCCATCCTGCCCTGGTCACTTGTCCAGCCAAGACAAGCTCCAGACCACTGGTTGGGCAAGCTGTGACCTCAAATGGGTCAGACCTGCCGGGTAAGCATGTTTAAAAGTATAGGACATTTTGTACTTGAGAATCCCAAGAACCAGAGTGTGAACCCTCCCCACTTCCCAGGCAAACCCCTCCCTTGCCCCTCAGTGCCACTTATTTCGTAACTTCAGGCAAGTTCCTTCACCTCTCTGGGTTCCAGGTTTGCCATTTGTCAAAGGCAGACTCACAGGTGTTCCCACCTCCCAGGGTTAGAGTAAGACTCGGGTCCTCAGTGTCAAGGCATTGGCACCCATGTGGCAGACACTCAGGAGGGGGACTTATTGCCAACAGGGGCACTGGACATCGAAGGAAAAACATGCATGAGGGCCTGGATTCAAACCCCAGCATGAAGAAAACCAAAATCTAAAACCAGGATGGGATACACACTACAGTGAATTGGAGCACAGACTGCCTGGGTTCAGATCCAAACTGCTCTACCACCTCGTGTGTGGCCACAGGGAACCTCTGTGAGTCTCAGTTTTATTCTTGTAAAACGGGAATAATCATAAGAGGGTTTCAAGCATTCAATTAGATTAGATCCATTGGGAACTGTGCCTGGCAGGTAGAAATCAGTTATGATTTTACTATTCCTAGTTAGTCAAACAAGTTTCTAAGGTTAGCAATGGTGCTGAAATTACACAGGTAAGTTTTGTTTTGTGGTCCTAGAGACTGAATCCAGAGCCTCGCCCATGAGCTAAATCTCATTCATTTTTAAAATTTTTGAGGCAGGCCTTTGCTAACTTGTGATCCTCCTGTCTTAGCCTCCCCAGTAGCGGGATTACAGGTACACACTTTCTTTCCCACCTTTTCTTCTTTTTTGTAGGGCTGGGGATTGAACCCAGGGTGTAGCACATGCAAGGCAAGCCCTCTACCAACTGAGCCATACCCCTAGCCCGTATACACTGGGCCTTTTAAAATCTGTAGTTTCCCTTCCAACCTTTTCTTTTCATTGCAATTCATCAGTTGAAGAATTCGGGCTGTTTCATCAGTAGTTTCTCAAAGTCTGCATTTTGTCTTCTGCATCCTCATTGTACAATACAAGATTTCTAGGCAGATGAGCAATTGGATGAGAGCCAGGCTCTATTCCTTTGGCATGATTAGAGGTTATGCTGGTTCTTTTCCAAGAAGCTCATACATGGTTGAGTTTGTTCTTTCTTTCTTTTCTTTTCTACTTCATCTTCTTCTTCTTCTTTTTTTTTTAATTGCTGTTAGCTGCCAGGGTGTGCAGTGGCTAGATGCTTAGCTCACTGCAGATCTCAAATGGCAATATTGTATCACTTTGTTTTCACCTACTAGTTGTAATAATTTTATAGGAAAATGCTTCACTTAATCTATTGTTTGGTTACCAACTGCTACTGTGTATCTAGGAAAGATGGAATAAATAAGGATTTCTTTCTTTATATTTACTCAGTTCTCAATAATTTCTTTCTTTCTTTCTTTTTAAGTTGTTGGTGGAACTTTATTTATTTTATTAGTTTATATGGGTGCTGATAATTGAACCCAGTGCCTCACAGATGCTAGGCAAAGGCCACAACCCCAGCCCCATCAGTTCTCAATAATATTTCATGCCACCTTCAGAAGGTGATCAATTAGTGTTTCTGATGATGGTCACTACAAACTCAGGGACTTAGACATATTTGATGAATTTTGATCAACTGCCATTTTTGCAATTATCAAATATTATCAATTATATATATATATAGTAATATATCTCTAGTATTTGATAATAGCGACAGCGACTGCAATTATCTTACTTGCAGATGAAATTGTCTCATCTGTAAGTTGACTTTTTTTTTTTTTTTTACTGTGCCCTTAGTAATAATTTCCTGTTGCCTGGTGTGACAAGATATTCCAGGATCATCTAATATATTTCCTGCTACAGTTCTGGAATCTACCATTTCTTCAAGAAAAGAAGATTTTAGTTGAAAATCACATTTCAAAACTACTATATCTGGGTGCAAGGTATGCTTGTTGCTACTAGATTGGTCATTGTTTTCCATCCTCTTTACTAGATATTAGGTATTAGGTGTATGTGTGTGTGTGTGTGTGTGTGTGTAGTGTGTTTCCATGCATATAATTTCTCTTTAAAAATAATCTCGAGTTCATACTGATACTTTCAATGCAAATACCTCCTTACAGAACTTTTACTTTAACTTCTTCTTGTTTCATCGGTTGCTCATTTTTTCCACACTGAAGTGTTTGATTCTCATGTATATGGGGGTTAATAAAATGAAAAGATTCTATACTTACTGATTTGCTTGAGTTCATTTTACACAAACAACAGTCTCAGAAGAATAGCAATAAAACTACTACCACTAGTCCCAGCTACTCAGAAACCTGAGGTGGGAGAATCGTTTGAGTCCAGCAGTTTGGGGTTAATGCAGCAAGACCCTGTTGCAAACTAAAACAAAAACCTGGTTAAAAGAAATTGAGCTCAGAGTCAAATGCCCTGAAAACAGACAGTTCAGACATTTCTGGCCACCTCCAGCACACACTTAATGTCATAATCTCTGTCTTCAGACACTGGATGATGCTAGGAGAGCAAGATGCTCAGAGCCTTCTGAACCAAGATACAGGACAAGCTGCCCTCTGGTGATCTTTTTGCTCTGGAGTTGGGTGAATATAATCAACAGACATTTCATGACATGATGTACCAGAACTTTACACAAGCCATCCCCTCTTTACACATAAAGAAATGGGTCCTTTCAAGGGGTTGTTCTGAGTCTGTTACTTCAGAGTCCCCAAAGCAGAAGTTGTTCAAATCCCTGTTCAGCCATTTAACTGTCCTGTGACTATGGGGAATTTCTTGTCCATCTCTGCACCTGTTTCCTAACCCACAGAAACACAGAGACAAGCGGCCCATGTGAACTTTACAGCAAAACAAAACCTGTGCCTGTGGTACAAACAAATTTCAGTTTAAATCAGGCTCGTTCACAGATCCTCTTGGGCCCTTAGACAAGTGATTTCCTCTTTTTGGATCTTAGTGTTCTCTTCAGTAAGGGAAACTCTCTCCTGGCCCTTTGTTCACGGGGGTTGTTCTAAGGCATAATTGAGATCATACAAGTACAGCGCCCAGTTATATGATTGCTCAAAAGGCAGAAAATTTATTGTCATTTTTCTGAGACCTTTTCCAATTCTGAGACAAATTGGTTCTCTAAAATGTATTACTAAGGAGGAGCAAGAAATAATGATCTTAAGACCAACTTTTCTTCCTGCTGTCAGCATCTAGCATGGAAGTCTGGTTCCGTGAGCCTCCAATAGGTCCTGGGTCTGGGTTGAGGAGGGGTGTCATCCCAAGACCTAGGACAGCATGGTTTGGACAGGGCCATCCCTTGCCTTTTGCTCTAAGAGTTTCCATTTATTAAATACCTACTGTTTGCCTAGTATAAGCAAGAAGTTTCCTCTAATGAGCCCACTTAATTACACGTTTGCCCATGAGAAACTAGAGGCTTTGGGAGTTTAAATGACTTGTTTAAGTGACTTCCCCAAGGTTACAACTTGGGGAAGGTTATCAGATATCCTTATCCCAATTTCTAAAGTTTGTGGCTATCTTGCTTTACTTGGTAAAAAGTATGCTGTAGATGTGATTAAATTAAGGATTTTGAGATTGGGAGATTATCCTGGATGATTATAATGGCAACTTTGAGATAATTTGAATTTCTTTTCTTTTTTCTTTTTGTACCTGGGATTGAACCCAGGGGCACTCAACCACTGAGCCACATCTCCAGCCCCTCCCCCTTTTAAATATTTTATTTAGAGACAGTATCTCCCTGATTTGCTTAGGGTCTCATTAAATTGCTGGGGCTGACTTTGAACTCACAATCCTCCTGCCTCGCCTCCCAAGCCGCTGGGATTACAGGAGTGTACCACAGCACCCAGTGACAATTTCAATTTCTAATAATCATTTTAAAAACATAAGCATATCCCAAATGTTGTTTAAGACATTCTTAAAAAGAAATCATTTATCTGAAATTCAAATTTAACTGAATGTTCTATATTTTATTTGGGAACCTTAGAAATGGTGAACGAGAGAGCAGAAAGTCAAAAGTCAAGATTCTCAGGCAGCTCCCACTCCCGCCACCCTCCAACCCCACCAACACACACACAGTCGGGCATCTGGCAGAAACATTTTCTTGGGGATCTCCTGGGTCACTTCCCTCTGGGACTTCCCTTGTCCTTGAGGCAGAGAGAGGAAAAGATTATTTAAGGTCATCCCTTTGGATCTGAAGTTCTTCTGGATCACCAGAATTTCTCCCTAGAAATGGTTTATCGTCTTGACTCTGCCTGAGATTTCTCTCAAAATTGCAGTTGCACAAAACATGAATATATGCTGGGGAGGGGGGTTAATGGACTAGATGTGGTGGTAATAAATCCTTTTTCACATTACCATTATCTGGTGGGCACTTCGTGAACCCTAAAGCAAGAAAGAAGTTAATTATCAAATCAGGATCAGATGAAGAAACCGAGGCCAATGAAGAATAGGGGCTTGTCCAAGTTCATGCTGCTAATGACAATCCGAGATTGTATGGAAGTCTCCCTCCAAGAAGCAGCCAGTTCTGATGGGAGATGCGGTGGGAGGAATTCTGGAATGCTAATCCTGAGGTCTGGGTTTTAATCTCTTTACTGCAATGGATTGCCACTTTCCTTTTCATGAAACAGGGAAATTGCACAAATTCAAGAATTTAATGAGGCATGGAGGAAGACACCAGGAACGTGGTGGTACGTTAGAGGAAAAGGGCAGTTTCTTTCCTTCCTTCTCTCTCTGGACCCGGTTCCCCATTGACACGGAGGGCCGGACAAGTTGCTCACGATCCCACTTACTAGCAGCCAGCAGAGGGCCCATTGCAATGTACAGTCGCGACCGCCAGGTGGAGGCAAAGCTCCGGCAACACGGCGAGAAATCGCACATGCGCACTCCCAAGCGGCGCCCCGCCTTCCCACGCCCTGTGCACGTCACTTCCGGCGAGAGGGGCCGGACCGGCCGGGCGAGGAGTGCGGGTCGGTTCTGTGCGCGTTGCCAGACGAGGCTCCCGCCGCCGATTGACCCGCGCTCCGCCCCGCAGCCGGGCCGGTGAGTGCCCGCGAGCCCATGCGTACGTCCCAGGGGCCGAGAAAAGGTGCCCCGAAAGGGAGGGATAACCGGAAGTGGGAGCCGAGGGAGCGAGAGACCCCAGGAAATGGGGACACCTGGGGAGGGGGCGACGACCGGAAGTTGGGGGCCTGGGAAGGTTGTCTAGGGGAGATGGGATCCCTGGGGCCCAAGAGAAATGGTCTTGGCCTCTCGCTGTCGGGGGGGGTGGGGTGGCGAGGAAGGTGATGCTCCACAAAATGATGGGCTCCAGGTAGGGAAGATTCCTGCTTCACCTCAGCAGCTGGTGTTTGCATCCCATCCCTACGTCCATCCATCATTTAGCAGACTTACTGAGCCACTGTCGAGGCCCTGGAGATTAAAATGAAGCACCCGGTGGAGGGTAGGGATGAGAGACCAGGGTGGGACTTGACACTTCCTCCTGCCACCCTTGAGCACATCACTTAGCATCTGTCTTCCCCTGATGTTTACCGAGCTCTGACGTGTACGCAGCCAAGGGGATAGCGGTGATCATGGCAGGCAGGTTCTCTGCCCTCGTGGATTCTTGGGGACAGTCTGTAAAATAGGAACAGTAATAATATACATAACAAATATTGTGAGGAGTAAATAAAAGGCTGGGGATGTAGCCCAGTGATGCATACCCAGCACTGGCAAAAAATAAATAAATAAATAAAATTGAGAAAACAAGTGCCAAACATAGTGCTTGATATAGGGTAAAACACAAAAGAATTTTAGTGTTTGTTGCTGTGTACCTAGCACAGTGCCTGACACATACGATAGGTAATCAGTAATTATTTGATAATGCATAGTGAAACAGACTCAGGAATTTCATGTAAACACTTGTGACATTGGACTGCAGTGCTGTGGAAAACTCAGGGATTCACCCTGAGGAAGTCAGGGAAGGCTTCACAGAGGCCATGATGTTGCATCTGGGCTTCAAAGGTGATGAGTTGTGATTGGGAACAGATAAGGAAAGGAAATTCCAGGGAGGGGATATCAGTGCATCAAAGTGTGTGAAGAATTGTGGGTCAGTAGTTTGTTTTGACTGGCAGGGGAGAGGTGGGAGGTGAGGCTGGAGAGGGCTTTGGGTCTGTAGCCTGTGAGCACTACAGTGTGCCTCTCAGGTATGCCCTGGATTGGGTTTGCAGACAACTATTGGAACCCCAAGTGGGTTCTGCAAAGCTGGAACTGTTCATTTCTTGCTCAGCATACCTCTGCTAAGCACATTAAACTCATTCAACAAATATTTATGGAGTGTAGACTCTCTCATACCATGTTAAGTGTTGTGTTTATAGTGATGAACAAGACAGACATGATACCAACCACAAATTGCCTACAGACAATGACAACAGAGTGAGAAGTACTGTGCCAAAGAGCTCCTGCAGGGGGCACCCAACCTGGCCTGGGGTCAGTGAAGGCTGATTGGTTAAAGCCACAATCTTCACCCAACTGGATATTTCAGTAGCCTTTCTGGTCTGTTTCTATCCTCACCCTCTACATTCTTAAAACAGTAGAGTGACCCCTTTAAACTATAAAACAGATCACAACACTCAAAGACCTCCATCCCCCCCCTTCACTCAGAATGGAAGAGTTCTTATAGTTCTACAAAGCCTTGGCCCCTGGGGCCCAGTAAGCCCCTGAATTCATCTGCTAGTGTTCCTCACCTTGCTTATTTGCTGTTGCTCAAAAGAGCCAGGCAGATTCCTGCCTCCAGCTTCACAGTTGTCCCCCCCTCCCCCAGATATGCATGGCTTGCTCCTTCACCTCCTCCATCAGCTAGATGAGGCCTTCCCTGACTACCCTATTCAAAATTGCAGCATCTGCCCGAGGTACATGCAGCCAACTTCCCTGCTTTGTTTTCTTCACAACATTCATCACGATGTATAGACTGTATGATTGGTTATTCTCATAGTCTTCTCTATCTTCTCTAGAATCTAAGCTCAGCAGAGCAGAATTCTTTCTTCATTTACTTCTATATGCCTGTAAGAGGGTCTGGTACATCATAAATGCTTGGTAACTATTGACTGAGTGAATTGTCATCTAATTGAGACTTAAGGGTGAATTGATGTGGGTCAGATGAGGAACCGGAGCAAGAGCATGCCAGTGCGAGAGATCAGGGTTTTCACAGGCTGGAACACACCTTTGTGGAGGAGTGAAAGAAGCTGGAGGTTGGAATGCAAGAGATGGAGTGGCATATCTCAGTTTTGGAGGGAGTGACCTGCTTGGTCACTCTGGCTGTAGTGGACTGGAGGGAGTCCAGCCAGGTGCAGTTAGGACCTTAGGGGTATGTGGAAGAACCTGTGAGAGGTTCCCTGATTTCCTTGTTGAGCTTGCATTGGAGGATCAATGGTGGCCTATGGACAAGAGTTGAACTTTAGAACTGGTCAGACTTGTGTTTACCTTATTCCCAGAATATTTCAGTCTGCTATTTTTTTCTTTCATGTAATAATGTGTTAATTCAGATTTTCTGAGAAGCAGACATTAGAGTCTAGAGATGGGATATGCAGTGCATGTCCAGTTGGAAGCAATGACTGTGGCAGATAAAGGATTCCATGTGTCACTCAGTCACAGCTGAGGGTGGTCTGTGGGAAGTGTGGCATCCAGTGTGGCTGATGGATCCAGAGGGACAGCACTTGGAGCCATTTGACAAGTATATTTCCGCAGCAGTAGATCTACCAGCCCATATCACAGTCTCCACAATGTGTTAAATGAGTATATATTTTTTAAAAAAGTAAACAGTACAGTAAACGTTCTCATCTTAATTGTCCAGTTGTCCAGATCTCTTCCCTCAAAGTAACCATTGGTAACACAATTTTTTATATCCTTCCAGAAAATTTCTGTGCATTCACAAGTGTATATGGGTATATATTTTAAAGACATAATGTGATTATTTTTTGCATACTGTTCTCAGCCTCCTTTTTCCATAATATGTCAGTTCATGAAGATCTGATAATTCCTTTTCATGACTGAAGAAGTATTTTATTTTTTATTTAATCTAGTTCCTGATGTTCAGTAAAGATATTTACAGTCATCTGTCATTTTAATCAATACTTAAAATAGACATGTGAATGCATTATTTTACACATATATATGCATTCCAGAAATGGAATTGCTGAGTTATATGTGATTTTAAATTTAATACATACTAATAAACTGCCCTTTAAAGGGACTACATCAGTTTACACTCCTGCCAGTATTCCAAAGTATCTGTTGTTTATTTTTGCCAGTGTGGATTGTAATGTTTTTGCTTTACTTTTTATTTTTGGTGTATGCGTGTGTATGTGTGTGGGGGGTGGTACTGGGAATTAAACCCAGGGTTGTACTATCACTGAACTACGTCCTGAGCCCGTTTTAATTTTTTTTAAATTATGAGATAATGTCTCACTAAGTTGCCCAGGCTGACCTCAAATTTGCCATTCTACTGCCTCAAGATGCTGAGATTACAGGTGTGCACCACCGTGCTTGGCTCCAATTTGTTTTAACTTACTTTTATGTAAGATGAGTGTGGTTTAGCACCTGTTCACACACTGACACAGAAGTCCGTGGTATGTGGGGAGGAGTGCATGTATTCAGCCACAGCTGCCAGGGTGCCTGCGAGGAGATTCTGACTGCATGGGTCTGGGTTGGACCTGGGCCCATGATTTAGGTCAGTTTCTTTCCTCTTTGAGAACCACTGCCCCTGAGGTTATTGGGCTCTGAAAAAAAAAAAAAAATACTACTATTCCCACATCTTGCTTCCTGGGCTTCGAAATTAGCAGTGCTGAGCTTTCCTAACTTTGCTTGGGCTTCTGTGTCAGCAGGGACCTTGGTAGCTAATGTCAGAAGAAAGTGACTCTCTGAGAACCAGCCCTTCTGTGGCCTCGCTCTCTGAAAATGAACTGCCACCACCACCCGAGCCCCCCGGTTACGTGTGCTCACTGACAGAAGAACTGGTCACCAAAGCCCGGGAAGAGCTGCAGGAGAAGCCGGAGTGGAGACTTCGGGATGTTCAGGCCCTCCGGGACATGGTGCGGAAGGAGTACCCCAACCTGAGCACATCCCTTGAGGACGCCTTCCTGCTGCGCTTCCTCCGAGCCCGCAAGTTTGACTACGACCGGGCCCTGCAGCTCCTGGTCAACTACCACAGCTGCCGCAGGAGCTGGCCCGAAGTCTTTAGTAACCTGAAGCCATCGGCCCTAAAAGATGTGCTCAGTTCTGGGTTCCTTACTGTGCTGCCCCACACTGACCCCAGGGGCTGCCACATCCTCTGCATCCGTCCAGGTATTTCCCCAGACTGCCACGGGACATGGGTGTGGTTGCTGAGCTTGCCCTGCACCTTGCCTTCTCCTAGTCCCTTTTCCCCTCTGTTAGTTGAGCCTCTTTTGATTTTGATTGCAGATAATAAAAACCTACTCTAACTAAAGACAGAAGGGAGAACTTGGTCAAGGGAGTTGTGGGTCTCATCTAGACCTAGAGGGCATGAGGTGCATAAGCTCTCACCAGGTCCTACAGTAAGAGCCAGTCTAAGATGACCCACCTCTGCCTGCATATCCCCTGGCCACATGTTTCTGCTACCTCTGGCATATCCTCTTTACCTTTCTTTTCTGTAGACCAGCGCTTGCTGCCTTTGTGCACAAGGCTAACTGACATCTCTCAGCAATGAGGATCACCTGGCCACCCAGTTCACACCCCTCAGTGCAAATTCTAGATTTCCAGTGGGAGAGAATATGCTGGGTTGAGGGGTCTGCCTCTGGTCAGAGGATACGAGCAGAGCTGCCAGGAGCCCCTGCCACTCCTCTTTGAGTGGCTAAGGCACAGATATTGATAGGTTGAGGAGTGGGCAGACTCGTGAAAAGGAGCCTTCCCCATCCCTCGTCCTCCCTCCTTTCCTCTGCTTTGTGAAGCCTTGACAAGGTCCACTTTATTTTTATTTTTGCAGTGATGGAGATGGAGCGTAGTGCCTCATGCATGCTAGACCAGTGCTGTGCCCCTGAGCCACATCAAAGCCCCAAGAGTCATTTTTTAAATCTTAGCACTTCATAGTGATCATCAGGGTACATTACTTTTTTTAAAAGTTCATTTTCTTTGACATCGTACAAAAAAATGTGTGAGTAGACCCAAAAGTAGACACACATTATCCTTTGTTGGCACTATTGTCTAGTTCTCCATATTAACTTTACTATTCAAACAGTTATGCAGCAATTTATAGATTGGGAAAGAGAGAAAGCCAAAAAACTTTTCTGCCCATTTTTATTCTTCTTATTTCATTGGCACAGAAGTTAGCAGTTGGGGGCAGTTCCCTGCCGACTTCCTGAAGAAGCATTTGGAACATTCCGAGCTTTGGACACAGTGACTAGGGGGTGCTAGAACTCCAGCCTTCTAATCCTTAATCCTGTTCTCTCCCATGATGCCAAATGCACTGTCATGGAGGCGTGTTCCCCACCCCACCCACAGCCTCAACATTTTCCATCAGAGCACTGCTCAGAAAAAAAGGGAAAGATAGATTGCAGTGTTCTTCCCGAGTGAGCCAGGAAGTGCAAACAGACTGGCAGCCCGGTGTGTACAAACGCCTCTTCAAGGGACATCTGATGGGAGCAGCACCTCCCTGCGCTTCCTCTGCCATTAAGCCCCACTTCTCTGTTCCCTTCATCATTTACCAAAGTCTCTCTGAAACTAGGTCTTTCTTTTTGGCCCTTACTATGAACCAGGCACGTGTTAATGGCTGTACCTGCACTGGTAGGCACTTTCTGAAATTAGAGGTGTTTATTTTAAAATAAGCAATGCAGTGCAGATTTCAGGGCACCAGGAGACCTAGAAACCAGCCAGTAGGCTTTTCTGCTGCTCCTCTGTGCTCAACGGGTAAGGATATTACAAAATGGCAGATATTACCACACTGGTTGCACCTTGCCACAGTGGTTCCTGCCCTTTGCTGGTGAGATGAATACCTTCCCATGTGGGTGGAGCAGACCTGGACCCCTCCCTACTGACCCAGCTTCTCAGAAGGTAGCAGAGACACTAAGTTCTCTTCTCAGCTGGGTTTTGGCTTTGCCCTTTTATAAGCTCTTTGGGGACATATGTGATTCAAAAGATGGCATCCGGAAATGCAGAGGCAGGTTTAACTGGCAGCAACACAAAACAGCACACTGGCACAATTTTTATACAAAGAATTTTCTTAAGAATTTTGCACATCTTACATGTCTCATTGGTGGTAAACGTGAAGTTTTATCATTCTAAGAAAGGGGCACACAGGTTTTGGTGGAATTTTCTTGAGAATAGTGGTTAATAATCACAAATGCTGTCATTTTTAGCTTTTTCCCGAAGGGAAGAAAGAATTGTTGAATATGTGGGAAGTATTAAAGTATTAAAGAAACATCTGCCCTGGACCCTTGGATGCAGGGTCTTCTGCAATGCAGCATCATTTCCCATCCCCACGACATCTCCTGAAGGTGGTACAGAAGTTAGGACTCACTTTTTGGGTGGCAAGTGACAGAAAGCCATCTTAGGTCAGCTAAAACAAACAAAACAAAACTCATTTTCTCAGATAACTGACATTAGGGCACAGCCGGGTCAAACAGCAGCACTGGAAATCTGTCTCCATCTCCACTGACCTCAGCGTGGACTTCATTCTCAGGCCAGCTCTGGCCTCATGGGACTCCTGCATCTTGAGCTCACAGCCAGAGTACTGTAAGAGGGAGGAAAGAGTATCCCCTTCTCAAGGGTCAAGGTGCTGGAATTGAGACTCCCGGGATTTGTGTGACCTGGCTTTGACCACACTGTGGCCAGGAGGATCTAACACCAGATGGCAAATCAGTGCCCAGGCACTTTTTCACCTCTAGAGTCAGGAGTCACAGCAGTTCTATGCAAGTTGCATGGCAAGAGTGGAAAGAGGTGTCTCCCCAAGGAAAATCAGGATGGTGTTATGAAGATAAGGGGAAATACCTGATGGTGAGAAGCATAGGTGTCCATGAAGGTGGTGTCATTGTTCTCTTCTACTTGGAGGAGGCAGAGAGGCCCAGGGGAAGAAGGCAGCCTGCTCGAGGCCACACAGGCAGTCAGGTTCCGATCCCCAGGTGGTGAGACTTCAGAGGGAATGCTTTTAACCTTAATGCTCAACTGCATTTCCATTTCTGAATGCACCACTGGGTTTGGAGTAAGAAACATTAGCTACTCCGTCTGACGTGGCTCGGTGGTAGAGCACTTGCCTAGCATGTACGAGGCACTGGGTTCTAGTCTCGGCACCACATGTAAAATAAATGAATAAAATAAAGGTCCATCAACATTTAAAAGAAATATTAAAAAAAAAAAAGAAATATCAGCTACTGCGTAAAGCCCACTTATAACCTAAGTAGCATCATGGCCACACAAATCTCATTCTTTCCATTTGAGACAGCAGGTTTTTTTTAATAGACAGAGATAAATCTTTTCTCATCACTTGTTCGTGTTCATTTCTATAACCTATTGTTCTTTATTCTCTTATAACCTCAGACAGATGGATACCAAGCAACTATCCAATTACTGAAAACATCCGAGCCATATACCTGACGTTAGAAAAACTCATTCAGTCTGAAGAAACCCAGGTGAATGGAATTGTAATTCTTGCAGACTACAAAGGAGTGAGCTTATCAAAAGCGTCTCATTTTGGCCCTTTTATAGCCAAAAAGGTGATTGGCATCCTCCAGGTATGGCCCGTTTGCCGTGTGCCCCTTCTGTGGTTGCTTTGACTTTCCCCAGGGCCCTTCATGCAGGTCTCTTGGGATTCACAAACCCCACTTCCCACCTGCAGTGGGAAGTCACCAGCCATTTTTCATGGCTTCCTCAGGGTCTCCAGTCATTTGAGGAGAAGGTACCTTCTATCTAGACAAGATCACAGTTTGGGCAAGAATCAAAAACAGGCAGCTGCTTTCTGCCTTTGTGTGTGCACATGTGCACATATGTGTGCAAATGGCAAAGAAGGAATTTTCCTAAAACACAAAATAAATTGTCCTGCCTTAGGGGCTGGAACCTCTCCATTCCTCTGTGGAACTGGGACCTGGGGTTCTGTGGGACTGTGTTTTGATCAGAGGTCTCACACTTCAGGCTTCACGTTTTGGAACCCAAATTGCTAGGGCCTGGAAGGTCCCTTCCATACATATTTAACAGTTCACAAAGGGCTGTTACCACCGTTATCACCCATTCAGTCCTTTGAGGAATCTTCTGTATTAGTCAAGAATTCTTTTTCCTTTTTTGATAGACGGGGAAACTGAGACCTAGAGAGGATAGAGTCTGGCCAGAGGGTCACAACTGGGACAGATTTGGATTCCTTGTTCATTCTGACCCAAGTCCTAGAGTGCTGCAGATGCTGCCCCTGTGAACTGTGGGCACCAGTGGTCACAGCATCACCTCTCACCGAATTCACAAGTGTGTTTAAGACCACTTTTTGACATAATTGTAAATCTTATTTCTAGCTTTGAGCCAGTACTCTGGCTTTTCTTTGCTTCCACTCTGTTTCTGTTTTTTGATTTTGTAGTGCTTAGACAGAACCAAGGTCTTTGCGCATGCCATGCAAGCACAGAACCACAAGCCACACCCCAGCCCTCTGCTCTGTTCCCATGTCTACTACATTCAGTGTCAGGGTAGAGTGAATCAGTGTTTTCCTGGTATTTTAAACTCCTCCAGCCTGGTGTGGTGGTGCACGCCTATAATCCCAGCTACTAGGAGGCTAAGGCAGGAGGATCATGGGTTTTGAGGCCAGCCTGGGCAACTTAAGACACTGTCTCAAAGTCAAATAAAAAGGGCTAAGGGTGTCGCTTAGTGGTAGAGTGCTTGGTCAGTTTTGCAAGGCCCTGGGTTTCATCTCCAGTACCACAAAAACAAACAAAAATCTTCCAGAGCGGACAGAAGTCCCAGGGCTAAACAGGTTTGGTAATGTGGAATAGCACATCCCTCTCTTATGAATTTCACCACCAACATCTCTGTATTAAAGGCTGAGCAGGGAACTGTGGTCACAGAAACCTGTCTATTCTAGTCTACTGACTTACCAGACTCACCTGCCATGGAATCCTTTTCTGTATCTAATGCTCCCTGAGAAATATGCTTAGGGCAGCTCTGACCCAGGACTCTTGATGTGTGCCAGCTCCATCTGTGTAGATGCAGATCTTTGCTGCCCATAAGAGGAGCCACTCTGCCTGTTTGTCTCTTTTCTGACCCAATTTTGGCTTACAAGAGAGACTTTCACAAAGGCTTATCCTTCCTATTTAGCAACCCTCTCCCCCACGCCCTTCTGTCTTTGCAGAGACCCTGAGAATGTAACCAGACTGATGTGGGGCTGAACGTAGAGGTTGAATCAGGGAGTGTGGCTGTGGAAGGGACAGTTTACAGTCACTGCAGATGTTCTAACACTCTTTTCCCTCCCCCAACAGGATGGGTTTCCCATTCGGATAAAAGCAGTCCATGTAGTAAATGAACCTCGGATATTTAAAGGCATTTTTGCCATCATAAAACCATTTCTGAAGGAGAAAATAGCAAACAGAGTAAGTGACAATCCTTGTGGCTTTTGATGCTTTCATCTTTTTCCTCCTTGGATTTGCTTGTGACAGCTAGTACTTAATTCTTTTTGCCTTGGAACTAACTTGGAAAGTCTGAGAGTACAGATGAATATAAATGAACAGTCTTTTTTATAAGGGAAAGATGATAATATTTGTCAGAAAAGAGCAGAAGTCAGAATTTTTACCATAAGTGTCCTCTCTGCTATGTAAACCCTTAGCCTTTTGATCTCCTATCTTAGACATTGTAAGCCAATGTTGCATTTTATACGTGAGAGGATGTGGAAAGGGAGGAGCCAAAGAGAGTAACTGGGCAGATTGCTTAAGAACTAAGGGTCATTTGCAGTGTGCTGTGATGTACACCTGTAATCCTAGCAACTCAGGAGGCTGAGGCAGGAGGATCACTTAAACCCAGGAGTTTGAGGCCAATCTGGACAACATAGTGAGACCTTGTCTCAAAGACAAAAAAAGCTGTTTCAGCCTTTCTGTTTACCTAATTTGATGTCTTACTGTGCAGTTTTTGAAGCAATTCAAGGTTTTTGAGCTATGTGGGGTTTTAGCTTAATTCTTAATTAAGAAGGGGCTAGATCTTACACACCTTTAATCCCAGTGACTCAGGAGGGAAGCTAGCCTCAGCAACATAGTGAGATCCTATCTCAAAATGAAAAATGAAAAAGACTGGGGATGGGGCTCAGTGGCAAAGCACCCTCAGTTCAATTCCCAGTTACCCCCTCCCCCCCAAAATATGTCTTCCTTTGTTCTTTCCTCCATTCTTTCTTTCACAATAGTGAGGACTGAACTCAGGGGTACTCTACTACTGAGCTGCACTCCCAGCCCTTTTGATTTTGAGATATGGTCTCATTATGACCTCAGATTTACAACCCTCCTGCCTTGTTCTCCTGAGTAAACTGAGATCGTGGTCTGGCTGGGATAAATGTTACTTGAGATGCTGAGGCAGGAGGATCACAAGTTCAAGATCAACCTGGGCAATTTAGCATGACCCTGTATTAAAATAAAAGGAACTGGGGATGCAGCTCAGTGGTTGAGCACTTGCATAGTGTGTGCAATGGCCCGAGTTTAATCCTCAATAGAACAAAAAAATAAAAGATAAACTAAAGGACGAGTCTTCCTTGCTGACCCTGAAGAGCCCTTTTTCTCTTCACCTTTCCCAGGACCACTGATTGAAATGGCCTGGACCTAGGAACGTGGTAGTCACTCTCTCTAAAGACTAGGTCCTCAATTTTATACTCTTTTTCAAAAAGAAAGCTTATACAGATGGAGAACCCCAGGGTTGCAAAAGAGGGAACTTAAACTCCAGATCTAGCTCTTTCCCTATTTTATCAGCTCAGGGGTGAAGCCCAGGGATATGGGTTTTTAAATTTCCCTAGGTAATCCTGATGCATAGCTAGGCTGATATAGTGGAGCTACTGATTTAGTGGCCTCCTTGCATGGGCGCAACCTGTGTTGGTTCCCGAAGATTCTGTTTGGAACCTGAACCTACATAGCCTTCACACAGGTCTTTTACGTCTATGAAATGCTCTTATTTGTGGCACATGATGTTGTTTTTTCTCCCTCATGTATTCACTTATTCATTCAAAACTATTTATCAATCAACTACTCTGTGCAGAATGAACAAAATGACACAAATCCCTTCCCCTAAGAAGCTCACACTTGAAAGAGACACCCAGATAATGGATCACACATGTTACCCAGTGTTCAAATGGGAGAAGTGCTTCAGACAAAAGTAGACCACAGAAAGGAGGTAGTAAGTGTGAAGGGGGATCGCAGTGTCCAATAGGGTATTAGAGGTGGCTGCATTGAGGAGGTGGCCCCATTGAGAAGTCAATGTTTGCGCAGAGACTTGACAGGTGAGGCGTCAGCCTTTCAGACAAGCAGGTGGCCAGCATAGCTGAAGGAGCAGCTTGGAGGCTGGTGTGACTGGGGCTGAGGAATGATCAGAGGAGGAGTTGGAGAAGTAATAGGCCAGGTCATGAGGGGCCTCTGACTGGTCCGAGAGGGAGTGCCAGAAGGGTGTGGAGGAGTGACATGTCAGCCCTCACTGAAATCCTATGGGGACAAGAGTGAGAGAGATAGGTAGGAGGCTAATGTGGGACTCCAGGGAGAGGTGCTGGAGGCCTGGAACCACTGAGGATGTAGCCAAGTGGCTGGACCCTGGATGGATCTGGAAGGCCTACCAATAGGGTGTGTGGTATACAGAGAAGAGAATTAGGAGTACTCCAGGCTTCTTGGCCGAGGAACTGAGTAAAGTTGCAATTAATCTTTCTTCATTCAACACGTATTATTTGAGCACCTACCACGAAAGGGATTGCTGCATTACTGATTGACCTAAGAATGTGTGTCCTTTTAATTTCACTCCCTGTTAGTTCTTCCTCCACGGGTCTGACCTGAACTCTCTTCACACAAACCTCCCAAGAAACATCCTCCCCAAGGAGTATGGGGGCACAGCGGGGGAGCTGGACACTGCCAGCTGGAGTGCCGTGCTCCTGGCCTCAGAGGACGACTTTGTGAAAGAGTTCTGCCAACCTGTCCCCACCTGTGACAGCATCCTGGGCCAGGCACTACTGTCCGAAGGACTGGCCTCAGATGTGCAGTGCGACGACTCCATGCGGGCGGTGAAGTCACAGCTGTACTCCTGCTACTAGTCAGTCCCCTGGGAGTGTCGCCATGTTTAAATCTTTTCCCTTTGTCTTTAGAACTTACAGTCTGAGGCCTCAGTCTTGCTCCTTGTAATGAAAGAGCAGCATGAGGAACCGTCTGGAGACCTTTGAGGGTGAGCCCAGCTTGGGGTGAGCCTTTGGTTACTTGGATTATTCCAGGGATGACAGGGAAAGTTTCCCCAGTGACCCCCACACATTCACACTTGAAGTTGTATCTAGTTCTTAGGCATCCCGGAAGTAAGAAAAAGTCACTTTGATCCCAATTCCAGGAAAAGACAACACAAGTGGCCAGTCAGCACTACTCTTCTGAAACAAACTTGGCTGAACTTTTCAAGGAGGCCATGCAAAGCTTTGGGAGTCTGCCTTTTACAAGAACCCTCGCTGTAAACCCGCCGCCAATCAGGAAACTTCCCATTCCAGGTCCAGTTCCCGGTGGCTGTCACTGGGTTTGGAAAGCACCTTGCCTGCACTAGGGGAGCACCAGGATCTAGGCACTTCTTCCTGATCAAATTGAGAAGCCAGAGACTTCAAAGCCTCCCTGGGATTCACTGGTTGAATCTTGCAATAGAAACATCTCCCAAACCTATAAAGCCTTAGCCCTGGTTCTCAGTTGAGTCAGACCAGGTCTTAAAAGTATATGATCTTGCTCAGTGTAAAACACTGGATTCTAGGCTTGTGAAGCTAAAGAATTTTGGACTAGGAATCAAGAGACCTGGGCTCCAGGTATGTGACTGTGTGACTGTACACAAGACTCAGGCCCCCGTGGGTCTCAGCTTTCTCATTTATGAGGCTGGATGAAATCATGTCAAAGGGCCCTTTTGGCACTGAGGTTCTGGTATTTGGTTTAGCTACTGGTAGGTTATCTTCCTGGAGAGATGGCTATCAGATAGTGTTGGTCATATCCTGGTTTTTATCGATACGAACAGACCTTTCCATGGAGAATTAGCGCCATCTGGTCCTGTCTTTAAAGAAGCTAGTATGTGCATTCCTAGGACTCAGTGACCCAACTTCTTTTTTGTAGTGATGGTTAAAAGGATGGCTTGTGTGAGGTGGCCTGAATGTTGTAGGAATTCCTTCCATCCTGAAATCTGGGTAGGATATTGTAAACTCAGCTACAGTGGTTTTAGTACTTGGATTTCTTAAATCTCATCCCTGAAAACATACACACATGGGCAGGTTGTTGCTGGGTCACCAATGGGGCCTCTGCCCTCCCAGGCCCACTGAAGATTGTCTTTCTGGTGTGGGAGGACCAGTTGCCCTGAATGGCAGTTCTGTATTTCAGCATTTTAGAACCTTCCTGTCAAGACTTCGACCTTAGCCCAGCCATCAAATTAGGTGGTTCATCTGATGGTTTCTGACCTGTTTCCTTTCATATGTGATCAAGATGTCAAGTAGTGGCAAGTACTATTTGTTGTGCCTGTACCTTCTCTGTACATTTATGAGAATAAGCAGGCAAAGCAGACAGTTTCCTGAGGGAGAGAAACAGCCTCTGAAATTCCAAGGTCTTCTATTACTAAGCTATTCAAGTTTACAGCACTTTCAGAAATGCATAAGTTGGTGGAAATTAATTTACTTACCTCATTAATGCCAATTCCATGGAAAGTTCTTTCCACCATAGACACTAACCCTGAATCCTCTAAGGTCCTGGCTGAGCTGGAAGTGTCAAAACGTACACCACTGGCTACCAGTGGGTGAAAGCGATGTGACCAGCATTGCTGAAAGACCTAGGTTTCAGTGGAATGGCTGAAGGGCATGGTTCAGAATGCAGAGGCCCAGGTGGAAGTTGGTTAGACTCCCTTGGGTCCCAGAGAGAAGAGAATGTGTGTGTGTGAAGTGGGGGACGCACACAGAAACAGCTAGACGGAGGGACGGATGAACACTTGGCCCCTGCATCATGTTCCTGGCCAGTGGCCCTTGTCTACATGACTAAACGCTGGATGGCCAGGCTCACTTGGAGAAATAGTTCAGAGGCAGGAAGGGATGTTGCCTGTTTTCCCAGCCTTTCCCCTCAGGCGAGAGGCATTGACCTAGTTCTGCCTGCCTCCTGGAGCTGCTGGGCATCCTGCTGGCTCCAGAGAGATCAAATGGTCTTGGCACCTCAGGGAATGGGAAGCAAGCTGTAAATCCAGGACCTCCCTGGTGAAAAGCAAGGCAGAGCAGGCGGGCAACCAGCCGGGCACAGCAGGCCTGGCTTTGTGGTGGAGACACCTGAGGACTGGGGCAAGAGCCTTCCTTCAGGGAACTTTGGTTCAAACACCAGGCATGAACTTTCCCCTGGTTACAGGTAGGGAGATATCGGGAAGGGACAGGGATAGAAATTAGGAGGATTGAGTTCCAGCTACATCTTGCCACGTATGTGTCCTTGAACAAGCCATTGAACACCCCTGAATCATCATGACCCAGGAGACCTCTACTCTGAATGCCAAACCTGTTTCTGGCATCTGGCAGGCTTCACTGCCACAGTGACAACCCGCTTTTACTGCTATCTGGGTTTTTAGGAAATTTGGGTCTGAATGTATTGGTAAAGCTTCCAAAACAAATTTGTTAGCTTGGGACAATGGGAGTTTTCTCTTCCCCCATTCCCCATTCTTCCTAGAAACATAGTCTACCTTTATGGAGAGAAACAGATGAAATCTCTGGAAACAGCCAAAAATGCAACCCTGGCTTCGCACACTGGCTTTCCTGCGTGGGACTACAGAAGGGGCTATGGATCCTTCCACTTCATCCTGCTGGTGTGGTAGGAGGCATTTCCCCTGAATTCAAGACTTATTGACTGGGCAGTGTTTATAAATGCTATTTTCAGATCAGTCATGGGGTTTCTTTTTCATTTGGCAGCCATTGTGGCATTATTACAATACCTCATTTTAAAGTTGTCAGCTTTCCAGGTTTTCCTATGAAACCTCCTTTCGTTCAGGAAGGGACATGTCAACTAATGTGTGGCCTTCCTGCAGCCGTGACAGCTTGGAGATGCTCAGGAAGACTGTCAACCTGCTAGCACCCCTGAGCATTGGCAGCTGTTAACTTTGAAAATCTAAATTCCTTTCTGCTCTCTTGACTTAGAAATGGTTTGCTTGAAATGCAAGAAATAAACATCATCAAATATTCCCACTTAGCAGGAGCTTGCTTCATGGGAAGGTCCGGTATGACTCGTGGATGGAGATGATTGGGATGCATTTACTGGTTTTCAGTTTAGCTTGTTTTCAAGAGAACTCTCAAGAAGGCAGCCTGTGTAGTCAGGTAGTAAGTTCTGGGCTCTTGTGGATATGCCTCTGATACCACTCTGTTGGGAGCTGGGTTAATTTCCTAACTAGGTTGGGTTATCATTTTAGCCACTGGTTGCATTCCTTGCTTCAACCTGAAATTCAGTGTAGCTTCGAGTGTGGGGACACATGGTGGTGGCTTCATCTACTTCAGTATTTGTTTTGACCAAAAGTTTATTTTTCTAGTGCATTTTTCTAAGTCAAAGTGGTGAAAAAAATATGTAATTTTAGTATGCATGACTGGGTCTTAATAAAAATCCCTGTAAGGATGAGTGTGCGTAGAGTTTTTTTGTTTTTTTTTTTTTGGTGTTGCTGGGGATTGAACCCAGGGCTTTGTGCATGCGAGACAGGCACTCTACCAACTGAACTATATCCCCAGCCCCCACAGAGTTTGGATAAAGACTCTTAGGTTTCCTACTCATAGGCATGGCCAAAGCCTCCCTCCTCCAGGAGAGCCTGGGAGGGGTACTGTGGCAAATGTTGAGCTGGCTGCCCCCAAAGACCAGGTGCACCTAGACTGCATCATGTACCAAGGGGAGAGGATGTAATCATACATGGTGGTAGGGGCAACATGTCACTGTTTCAGTCCTTGAGGAACAAGATGATTTTCAGGACTGACTGGCCTTGAATCTTTCAGTGGTAGCCAATAACTCCCGAATGTGCCTGTGGGGTAGCCACACCTGTCAAGTGTACACACAATACATAATCTCATTTAATTTTCAGGTATCCTTAATGTAGTAGTAGTATGGCCCCTAGGAAGAAAAAGAGGCACAGAAAAGTGGAACAGCTTACCCAAGGACACAACCAGCAAAACAGTAAAGATGGGATTCTAAGGCAGGTCATCAGTCCCAAGCCCTGCATCAGGACTTGATGGTGGGAGCCAGGTGGAATCCATCTCTTAAAAATTTTGTTGTCAAATAATCCACAGAACAGAGGGAAAGAAAATAGGAATCTTTATAAAAAGATCGTATCAGAAATTGCCTTGTTTTCTGGAAACACGTAATGCAATTCTTAATCTCAGATCTGAGTGGTAACTGAGCATTTTATTCCAGAAGCTCCTACAAGCGAGGCCAGACTCCTCAAGGGGTAACAGTATGGCTTGACCCAACTCTGGTTCCAAACATGCTATTTCTCTAACCTGCCTCCTTATTTATCGAGAGGCAAATACTCTGTCCCAGAGTAGGCAGCAGTTAGGTCCCCACATGGGGCTGGTGTGTTGGCGAGTTAAGAAACACTCCAGCACAGGATGCAGGTTCACTGTTGGCTTTTGATGTCACAACCAGGCAGGTATGCACCCTTTAGTGCAACCAGCCTTTCCTGGGAAAATGGAGGAACCGAATGCTCAGTCTGTTTCTCATTCTGGAAAATGGGAGCCAACATCTCCAGCCCTTTTACCTCACAGCAGTGTTATGACCATCAATGGAGGCACTTTTCTGAGCACCTCCTCACTGCCGACCTGCAGGGCCCCTCCCCACAATCAATGGCAGCATAGGTTTCACGTTAATACATTTAAAGCTGCTGGCAAGTAAAGCCAGGTGCGGTGGTGCACGCCTGTTGTAATCCCAGTGACTTGAGAGGCTGAGGCACGAGGATCACAAGTTCAAAGTCACCCTCAGCAACTTACAAAAAATAAAAAGGGCTGGGGATATAGCTCAGAGGTAGACTGCATGCTCAGCATGCAGAAGGCTCAGGGTTTGGTCCCCAAACCAAATAATGATAAAGGTGGAGAGTCAGAAGATCAGTTAGGGTATCACTTTCCTTGGGGGGAAGTTTTAACCAAGTGTTCATGCTCTTACCTGACTAGATGCCAGCAACTAGCAATAGTGACTGCTGTCAGGTGGTCACTAACTTTCCTGAAAATGATGGGTAGTGTCGTGAGCCAGCTTACTCCCCTCCATTGTCTCCAAGCAGTCTCTAGTATAACCTCCTGGATCCAGACAAAGGGTGTTTTGAGAAAAGAACTTAGAAGTCAAGCCCCAGGTTTGACTCCCTGCTTCTTCACCTCTTCCTGGGCAACAGGAAGTCTGACTACTTTCCAAGCCTCGGTTTGATTTAAGGGCAGGGAGTGTGGGGACTCAGCACCTCACAGGGGTGTACACTTTATCTATTCACGGCCTGGCACATGTAGCTGTTTATGTGGTATCTATTATTATTCTTCACCTGAGGAAAGAGGCAACATGTGGCTTGAGTCACCCAGCAGTCATCAGGACATCACCGAGGAGGCGGACTGATTTAGGTGCCTGGGTAACAGGATGGATAGGCCAACACAAAGGGGGAAAGATGACCAGAAGCTCCCATGAAGAAACATAAGCCTGGTACCTGCTACTAATTTCCAGAAATCAAATGCACATCATCATCTAAATACTCACGTTCAACAGGAAAAAAGAAAAATATAGTCAAGCAAAGACTTTTACGATTGACAAAAAAGGCTGTCCTGCTCTAAATTAGACCTGAGTTATGGTTTGGTCTGGAACATCAAGTTATCCTTATAACCAGGTCTATGGTCATTCTTTGGCAGTTATCTTTGGCTATCAAGAGAAAGTTTTATTCCCCACTGAGTTTAAGGCCAACCTAAAAGGTAAACCAAAACTTAACAGCTCTCTCCCAGCTCTAATGAGGTCAAAGTAGCAGCTGCTGCTTTAATGAACTCCTAGAACATGCTACTGACCACAAAGCCAAGGCCTTGACCTAAGAGGCCGTCCCAACCTGTTCTTACTGAAGAAACACCAGGTGATTCATCTGGAATGAGATGAAACCATGGGATCTGATGATTCATAACACCACCCTGCTTTGAAGCATGATCTTCGCTTACTCAAAATGTTGGTATTATTAACGTTTATGTATAATTCAGCATTCACGTGTATAATTCTTGAATGTCAATGACTGAGTTTCCTATTCACAGACAGACTTCATTCATTCTTAGGGGATGACCAACAAAAGGGACATTATCCCCAAACTTTAAAGGGAATTTGTTATTTCAAATTAATATCAAACTATCATCATGAGAAAAAAAAAATAAAAACCTTTATTGGACTTTGTTACATTATTTTACAGTTTAGTATTGCTTTTATATTGAATTACATAAGGCGGAAGAGGGGGGCACTGTAATGTTTTTGAAGTTTAGAACCTATAGAATTCTTTCTGGCTCCCCTGCTATTAAGGACCGGGAATCTGCTTTACTCTGGCAAGACCAAGGGCCAAACTCATTCATCCTCAAATCCTTTGCACTTTACTTCCACATACAAGCCTGACATACATGGCTGGTTTGAAGGACAGCGGTTCCAACCATTTGTTTTAAGCTCTGCTTCCCTATCTCCACCTCTATGTTCATCTGGTTAATTCTACAAGAATACCTCAAATCCAGCCTCTACCAGATTCTGGACATCTGTGACCCTTGAATCTCATCCAGTCTCACTTTAACCCATAATGAGATTAGCAGCTCCTATCAAGAGTGCTTTAAGTGTGTTAAGCATTCTTCAAACCATCTAAGTACATCAGTACACAGGTTCTAGGTACCAACACTGAAGCTCAGAGAGGTAAAGTCATTTGCCCTAAGTCATAAAATGTGGTATGTACTCAGTAAATATTGGCTGACCAGTTTGGCAGCTGAAAAATGGAGAAGCTGCCAAGCATGGTAGTAGCCCAGGCCTGTGATCCCAGCAACATAGGAGGCTGAGGCAAGAGGACCAGAAGTGTGAGGCCAGCCTGGGCAACTTGGACCCTGTCTTAAAATAAAAAAATACTAGGGATATAGCTCAGTGATAACATGCTCCTGGGTTCAATCCCCAATTTGGGGGTGGGGGGCAAAGTTGGGGTGCAAACCTAAAAGCTTACTCCCAAGACTGTACTCATTCTGAAGGGACCACCTCTGTCATTTTACACCTGTGCTCTTGCTGCTTCCAATCTAAGTGCAGCACCATCTACCTGGATGATTAAATCAGAAGCACTTAGGACTCTACCCTTCCCCCATATCTAATTAATTTCCAGTGTTAAAATTCTAATTACCAAGTAGCCCTCACTCTCTCATTCCCCCCATGTCCCCTTCTACTTCTTTATTTCAAATTTCCTATGAACTGCTTCTGGTATCATCTCTCTGTATCCATCCTCTCTGTATCAGCCCAAGTGACCAAAGACACAGTTTGCGCATGTTGCTCTGAAGATGCGCTCTGCTGCCTTCAACATTACAGTCCAAACTCTCATGAGGGTCTATAAAGCACTTCAGAACTCAGTCCCCATATTCTCTCCCCCTCCATTCCGGCTTCACTGAACACTTTTTTCCCATCTCCCTGCTTTTAAGTGTAGTTCTGCCCATCCTCAGCAATGTCACTCCACTATCTCATGTCTCTCTAGCTTACTCCTAATAGCACTTCTCTAGGAAGTCCATTGTGACACCCTCTACCCCAGGTACCCATCCTCCTGATTCCTGCAATCCCAAAATCACAGCACTAACTCACATCAGAACCACCCATCAGCTCATTTTCAAACTCCTCTACACTGTCCAAGGAAGAGCCTGTGGTCTGTCATATTTAAAGCTGTGTTCCAGGGCCTGCTGTGGAATAGACACCCAGTAAATTTTTGTTAAAAGAACTGCTTTATCCTACACCTCCTTGTATGCTGCCTCTCTGGATTATATTTCTTGACAGTGCCTTAACTATTCCTCATCTACCAAAGTCTTACACAGAGAAGATAATCGGGATAATTTTTGAATGAGTTCAAGACTCAGAAGGAACAGGGGCATCCTGATGTGATGCTAGATAAACCTGTGACTGTCCAAAAAAATAATGCATGGCTATTAACTCAAAAAGCTGTTAAAGAAAGGGCCTTAAAAGTTTAATGTCTTTCTATTGTAATCAAATACCTTTATAGTGCAAATATATAACTTACATGCATTTTACTTTTACATACTCATGACAAGATCATTACATAGACATTGCGGTATTTCCCCAAATGAATCTTCATTTTAATCAAACCTACAAAGCATTTATTGAAATTAACATATCTGGCAAAGCCACAGACTTGTATCAAGCTGCATCAATGCTGTAGTATTAAAAAAGTAAATAAACTCAAGCTGTAGAAGCAGCAGCCTCATCAGCAATCACGCTTCTAGAGAAGGACCCACATACATGATCCTTACCCAAGAACGATGATGCGACACACCTCCAAAGAGTTTACGCACGAACAATGTGCTTAAATCACACAATAAAGACTTTCATGGAGGGAAATGTCATATAAATGCATTTTTTCTTTTTAAGGAGAATGCAATAGAAATATATTAATGATAGCTTCAAATATCCAATATTCTTCTATCTTATATTTTAAACGAAATTTGTAGAACCGTACATATCTTTATAAAGAACTCTCTTCACAGCACAGCTGTAGTTCTCTTTAAAAACGCAAAAATGTTCTCTTGTGCTATATCCTTACAAATAAACATACATAAAAATGAAAAGTTCAGATTCTGCATCAAGCATTTTCAATCTTGCTTTTTGATATAAACCAGAATATAGTCAAATTTGCAAAGCGTTCACTTAATAGTTTAGTAGAAGCAAACTTAAAAGGGATATGAGTTTTCAGCAAAGGTGAGACCTTTAGGAACTTCAGCAGTGTCCTTGGCATTCAGAAGTTCAGCTGAAATCCCGACTGGTGAGGACTAATGGAGCCACAAGGGTCCAGACATAAAGGAGGAGGCACACCCAGCTGGAGGTGATCTTGACCCACACAGCAGGCCACTTGCTGGTCACATTCTGGAACATGGCATCAGGGCTAAGAAAACAAAAAGAGTCAGGTAAAGGAACCTGGTACCAGCATCCTGCAGACCCTAGTTAAGGCAAGAAACTCCCCTGTGAAACCTGGCTGGCACTAGTACCCCAGTACATTTCTAGGGGAAAGTTGAAGAAGCTGCTATTTTTAGTTGTTATGAGCAAATATTTGGCCTCTTAAATAGCATTTTTCCTCGTGTCAGCATGAAAGACTTCAGCTATTCTTTGGGTAAAATGCTTCAGGACCACTTGGCTGTTCTAATTATTGGTAAAAGTCTAGGTTAAAATGGGCCTCCCTGAAACGTTCCTTCCTTAGCACATTATTACTCTGACCAAAATATTTTGATATGGCCATCTCTATGTACAGAGAAAACTTGTCTACAAAGATGGGTTAAGCTCCTATAAAATATCGTGATTTTCTCTCTCAAATAAATCAAGTCTAGAAAAACTCCCAAATATTTTCACTGCAAAGAATTCCAAATGGATTTTAAATGCAGAGGGGAGAAAGTCCAAAGTCTTTCAGAGAGAGCACCGAGCAGAGCTTATTAAAGGAGTAAAATAAGGGGTGATATGGTCAGGACAATAGATAAAGAGTCACAGGCGGTCCAAAGGGCTAAGTGGTCTTCCACCTTTTTGTCTGTGCCTCACCTGTACCAGCCGGTCAGTGTCATCATGATGTACAAGGAAGCCAAGCAGAGCATCAGATGGAAAAATGAGTAGCTATACTGCACTCCCTCTTTCTCATTGTCCACAGCCCGCCGAGGCTGTCCATCTTCTTCATCGTTGGCTCCGCTGGCATTGGTATCACCAAGGATCACGCTGTCACTCCCTGAGAGGGTCAGCTTGTTTACTTGGCTGTTGCTGGAAGTTCGGATGCTGGAAAGTAAGGAAGACAAATCAGAAAGGGTCTATGAAATGAACTGCTGCCTTTGGCCTGCAAACATTATATTGTAGCTGCTCCAACTTTGGAGACTAAGGTCTCTGCTTAAAATTCTAAACTGCTGCCTGTCATCATAGGGCTGACCATATACTTGCATCAGTTACGACCCCATGGCCCAACTCCCAAAGCACACTATGTTCCTATTACTTCAAAGGGCCTCTTCTATGCTTGGGATGCACCACCCACCAACCTTTTCCCAGCTAACTTACTCATCCCTCACTTCTCTGACTCAGTGCCATGTCCTCTGGAAAGACTTCCCTGACATCAACCCTCACTAGGCTGAGTTAGAGGCTTCCTCCCACCTCCCAATGCTCCCTAGGGCATCCTTCTGCCTCAGCATTTTTCGTTCCTGCCTTGTTCTTTGCTTACTAGGCAAAGAACTCCCTAACAAGATGCAGAGTCATCTATGTGTCTCTAGCACTGCAGATGCTTACTACAAGCAGGAGTTAAATGACTGAATTAAAAAATACACATGAATAAAAGACAAAAACTACATGACCATTTCAATAGACAGAAAAAGCATCTGACAAAACCCAATGACCTTTCAAGATAAAAATACTCAAAGCAGGAATACACAACTTTCTCCAACTGATAAAATACATCAGTGAAAACCGAACTGCAGTGCTAACACCATACTTAATGGTGAAAAACTAAAAGGTTCCTCCTAAGATCAAGAACAAGAGAAGAATCCCACTCTTCACTTGGCTATTTAATGCTATACCAGAAGATCTGGCCAGAATAATGAAGCAAAAGAAATGAAAGATATCCAACTAGAAAGGAAGTAAAACCAACTCTATTAGCAGATAACTTGATCTTGTATGTAGAAAATCCTATGGAATAAACACACATAAACCTTTAGAACCAATGAATGAGCTCAGCAAGTTAGCTGAATACAAGATCAACACACAAAAATGAACTATGGGGCCGGGGATGTGGCTCAAGCGGTAGCATGCTTGCCTGGTGTGCGGGCGGGGCGCTGGGTTCGATCCTCAGCACCACATAAAAATAAAATAAAATAAAGATGTTGTGTCCACCGAAAACTAAAAAATAAGTATTAAAAAATTCTCTCTCTCTCTCTTAAAAAAAAAAAATCAACTACTTGAGAAATGAGCAATCCCAAAGTTGAACAACTGTAACTACAATTCCATCAAATCAAATAAAACATTTAGAAATTTACAAAATATGTTTAAGATCTGTACACTAGGTTAACTATAATCCACTGAAAGAAATACCAATGCAAACCCTATCAAAATCTCAACTACCTTTTCTTTCTGGTACTAAGGATTGATCCCAGGGGCACTTCACCAATGAACTATTTCCCAAGCTCTTTTTATGTTTTATTTTGAGACAGGGTTTCAGTAAAATGTCGAGGGTAGTCTCATATTTATGACCCTTATTCTTCAGGCACCTGAGTAGCTGGGATCACAGGTACTCAGGAGCCTGGCTCTGATTATCTATTTTTACAGAAACTGACAAGCTCATCCTAAAATTCACATAAAAATACAAATGACCCAAAACAATCTTAAAACAGAACAATTTAGAGAATTCCAACTTCCCAATTTCAAAACTTACTGCAAAGCTATAGTAATCAAAACAGTTTGGTACTGGCCTAAGGTAAAACATACAAACCAATGAAACAAAAACACAGGCCTAGAAATAAAACTATTACATTTGTGGTCAACTGATTTTTGATAAAGATGCCAAGACAATTCAATGGGAGAAAGGAGAGTTTCTTCAACAAATGGTCTGGGACAACTGAATAATCACAAGGGGAAGAACTGGAACCTCTACCTCAAGCCATATATAAAAACAATAAAAAGACAACCTAATTAAAAAACAAGTAAAAGCCTTAAATAGAAAATTAAAGAAGCTCTACCAATAAGCACATGAATAAGATGCCTACCATTAGTTAGAGAAACACAAATCAAAATCACAACAAAATGCTACTCCACTCACTCTAGTATGGTTACAATTTAAAAGGTAGACAATTACAGTATAATGATTAGGATATGGTCAAAGTGGAAATTTTGTTGGGGGAACATAACATGATGCAGCCACTACATGGAGAACACTTTGGCAGTTCCTTAAGAAGTTAAATAGTTACCAAATAACTGAGAAATTCCACTCCTACCTATGTTCAAGAGAGCTAAAAACATACATCCACACAAAACATTTGTACACAAACATTAACAGCTGCATTTTTCAAAACAGTCACATAAGGGAAATAACCCAAATGTCCACCAACTGATTAACAACAAACTGTGTTACAGCTACACAATGGGATCCAATATTTTCTATAAAAAAAGGAATAATTACTGATATAAGTTGCTACAAGGATCAACCTCAAAACTATTCAGCAAAAGCGGTCAGACCTGACATTACTGCATTTAGTCAAGTGCCATACTATGTTTCAGTTGACGACAGGACTGCACATGACAGTGGTTCTATAAGATCACAGAACCTAATGACACTGGTGCCATCTCAGTTTATGTAATAAGCACACACTACGATGTTCGAACAATTAAATCATCTAACAACGCATTTCTCAGAGTATCCTTGTATACTCAGGACTACATATGAAACCTATGTATTTTACACACGTGCACATGTGTGCATGTGTATATAAATATATAAAAGTATTTATATAATGTGAGCCATGACTACATATGGAATGTTTGAGTAGGCAAATCTACAGACACATGAAGTAGCTTAGTGGTTGCCAGAAGCAGAAAGGAGGGTGATTGGGGAGTGACTGCTAACGGGTATAGGATTTTTGTATGAATGAAAATACTTTCCTTTTGTGTTATTTTGTTGTGGTGCTAGGAATCAAACCCAGGACCTCCACATGTCAGACAAGTATTCTATCATTGACCTACACCCCTAGCCCCAAGATTTTTTTTCTAAAATGATAATCCATCCAGTTTTGAAAGCCACTATTTTATTCTCATTTCTTTGTAAGACTTTGAGGAATTATCTGGTGAGATGATATTCTGGACTTTAAGAAATACAAATCCCCCCTGGGAGCTGGGGATGTCACTAGGTGGTAGAGTGCTTGCCTAGCATGCTCAAGGCTCTGGGTTCAATCCTCAGTACCAAAAAGAAAAAAAAAAAAAAAAAGAAAGAAACACACATAGCTGGGTAACTGAGGTGCATAAAGAACTTCTCATTAAAGAGAACTGTTTTTTTCCATTCCTCAAAATAGTTTTAAAAGCAAAATACCTTCTTCATTCTATTATTATCTTTCATGAGAACCTTAGACTAACCACCTTTTAACTTACCTAGAATACAAAAGACAGAAAACAAAGACTGCAAGCCCTAGAAGATTTTCTGCATCCACAAAGTGCCCCTTCTTCGATGGTGGAGCAGAGGTAGGGACTATAACAGTGGAATTTGTAGGAGTCATGGTTGGTGAAGCGATGTGTGTAATGATGCTCAGTAGGGTGGGGTTGCAGGATCGATCTGAAAATGGGAAATTTTTATTATCCATAGTTTCAGCTCATCTTGTTCCAAGAAAGAATTAAGAGATTGCCTATATATCATTCAGTGCTGATGTGAAACATGAGAATACTTCATCCAGCTGGAAACTCAGCAGTCAGTAATGTATATGTGCTGAAATTAGTGATTTAGTTTCAGAAAACAAGAAACGACAGTATCTGTCAAATTCGTAAACATCAAGCATGATTTTCCTGGCTTTATAGTTTACCTGAAAGATCTTTTTAGTTATATAGTACCAAGGCTTTATGCACACAAGTTTATCCTAAGCTTTAACATAGTTATTTAATAAAAATTAAGTTACTGAGCTGGGGTTGTGGCTCAGTGGTAGAGTGCTTGCCTAGCATGTGTGAGGCACTGGGCTCAATTCTCAGCACTGCATATGAATAAATAAAAAATAAAGGTATTTTGTCCATCTACAACTAAAAATTGAAAAAAAAATATCATAAGAGGGGGGCTACAATAATTGTTTACCTTTATAGAGTCCACAGAATGATCTATTGAGAACAATCCTATAATAGCTGTAAAAGGAGATTTTCTTACAGCTATTTTTGCCATGTCTATGACAACAAAGTAAAATAACCTTACAAAGGACCAAAACAAGGTCACCCTTGTGAAGAGCTCTTACTAGTGTCAAAAGGTCTTCCTAGGTCTTACATATGGGGAATAAAACATAAAAGAAAAATAAACATCTGTAAATCTACAGTGACCATTGTTCAATTACAACATTTAAAATGTTGTTGTCTGTTTCATATTTGCTCTACCTCTAGTTTTTACACCCACCAAAGAGGTACTTTCCTATTTTCATCCTATAAATGTGTTATTGACATTCCTTACCAGGTTCATTTGTCATGGCTGACCACGTGAGGTACAGGGTGTAGAGCGTGATGACAGAGGACTGTAGGAGGCCGGAACGAGGCTGATGTTCCTAGGGAATAAAAAGGAAAACTGCCAAAGGGATTGCAAGGTCTCTCTTTCTAAAAGCCAGTGTGCTTCCCTGCGATTTGTTGAATTGTTAGTAGTTGAGAACCTATTGATTTTGCTTGACAGCTGAAAGTGGACAAGTAACCTGTCAATCTGAGTTTGTTTGCAAAAGAATTAAGAAATATAAAACATCTACTGACTCTCAAGGCATTCTTTGATCCTGAAAATTCCTGTACATCACACAACAGCTCTGATTGTTTAGTCCCTTGGTGTAATAGGAAGAATCTCAGCTCAGCTCTGTTACTAATCAGTGAGGTGATCCATCGCTTCTTTCACTGAGCTATATCCCAAGCCTTTTTGTTTTTTTATTTTGAGGCAGGGTCTCACTAAGTTGTCCAGGCTGGCCTTGAACTTATGATCTTCCGCCTCCCAGGTTACAGTTTTCTCACTTTTAACCCAGAAGTGAAGACTAGATGTCTTTTAATATCTAAAACTGCAATGATTTTTTTTTTTGATCATGATGCTAGGGAAGGAACTCAGGGCTTTGTGCATATGAGGCAAGCATTCTACCAACTGAGCTATATCCCCAGCACAGCATGGTTCTTAATGTTTTCCCATCAGAACAAGCACAATGTCTCTACACTTAGTTATTCTAAGGTATGGCCAATCTTCACTACCACTGAGATACATATTAACCCTATATAATGTTTAAAAAAATGACACTCAAGAGCATGAATCTTTGTTTTTAATATTAAAGTTAACTATTTCTCCTAAAAACATGTTATCTAATGACTCATAACAATCATTCCCAAGACTTACACAGTTTTAGAAGATCTATAAATTCTCAAGTTCCTCAGCTTTTTTTTAAATGAAAGGGAAATTAATCATGACAGAGGCACTCAATAACGCAATATATGCTTATTAACTTGTAACTATGAAGACTGTAACATAATATGGAAAAATATTTAAAAGGTTAACTCAGACATAAATTCACTAAAGGGTTACTAAGTTTTTGAAATTAGTGTTAATTAAAAACTGTTCACAGGGCCGGGCATGGTGAAATCCCAGCAGCTCAGGAGCTGAGACAGACAGGAGGATTTTAAGTTCAAGGCCAGCCTCAACAACTTAGAGAGACCCTATGAAACTCAATGAGACTCTGTCTCAAAATAATAAAAAAAGGGATGTAGATGTGGCTCAGTGGTTAAGCCCCACTGGGTTCCATCCTTGGTATACAAACACAAAAACAAAAACTTTCACAGCAGGAAGAAGCAGAAAACAACCATACCTGAATTTTTGGGTGGATCGATATAATGGAAACTACAATGCAGAGAATCAGATTAATACTGATGAAGAACTTGTTTTCTGTGCAGCCATCTGGTTTTGTGTAGTATGTGTAGAATAACCCAACAACGATGATTGACATGACATAAAAAAAGGTTGTAACAGAGAGTAAAGCTGGAAAAAGAGAAACAAATATAAATATCCACGATTCTCAGAAAACTTCTACAACGAAGACCAATTTCTTTTGTATACTATATAAAAATGAAGACGTATTAAATTACCCACCCTCATGGTGGTCAAGAATTTATAACAAAATTTCAGAAGCCCCAAGGTTAGTTTCGGGTTGTGTTGGCTCAATGTTAATTTCTAAAACCCAAGAAGCAAGTGAATTCACTTCCTGGATTATCTAATTTGGTTTCATTGCCTAGATTACCAGATATTTGGTCATTCCAGTTAGAATAAACTGCTAATTTTTTGTCTGCTAAATAAGGAGTTCCAGAAGCTTTACATAGCTTAGATGATTCCTGGGCCCTCAAAATGGCACAATTCATAGGAAGCAATATGCCAGGAGGTGAGAGGGTAAATAAAACATGCATCTTTTTATAACAGTTTTTCTTCTGTGGCCACTGGCTACCCAAAACTGTTTCCGATCACAAACAATGAGAAAGTGGATCATTTGCTATTTCCAAATATCTACATGAATGCTTCTTTCTAGTCATAAGGTTAACCAAAAATTAATTACTTAATTCTGAAATTAAGAAACAGGAAAGAGACTGTACAGTACACCAAGTAAACCTGTGTTCAATTTGAAGCAAAGACTTACGAGAGAAAATTGGTTTCTACTTATCTGGATGGATTTCACAAGTTTAAAATTAAACTTTCTACATTAGGTCACCAGCACAGTTCTTAATGTTTTTCCATCAGAATAGAGATAAATTTCTCTATACTTAGCTACTCTTAAGGTAGGTACAGTCAATCTTCAACTCATTAAATTCTTCTAGAGTTATATGATCCAAAATGAATTATATAAAAATTTTCTAAATTAAAAAAAAAAAAAAAAGTATAGCTGGGTATGGTGGCACACACCTGTAATCACAGTTACTCAGAAGGCTGGGTCAGGAAGGACTACAAGTTTGAGGCCAGTCTGAGAAACTCAGAGAGAACCTGTCTCAAAAAATATAAAAGGGTGCATAGAGGGGCTTGCCTAGCATGCACACAGGCCTGGGGGTTCAATCCCCACTACTGCCCCACCCTCTCCAAAGGAAGGAATTATACAAAACAGAATAGATAAAAAAATAAAATTTTACTAGAATGAAGTAAATAAGTATTACTTTCCTTTACACACACACACACACACACACACACACAATTTGTGAGTGTATGTGTGTGTAAATACTTCTAAAATAAGCCAAATAAGTGAAATGAAAAAACTGAGCAATTTGTATATGCACTAAAAGCATTTAAAACTCTTATGCACTTTGATCCTTCTCCTCCTGGAAATTTAGCCTAAGGAAACAATCAGAAATGTAATCAAATATATTAGGTATTTACTTCTGTACCATAAGCCAAAATAAGTTCACAAGCTATTTCTAAGTTCAAAAAAGCCAAATTATAAACCATTTACATGCACAATACATTAAGAAAATAAACAAAACCATGTTACACACATTTGAATTTCATACACAAAAAATATGTATGTACATGTAAAAAAAAGACTATAAAAAAAGACTAATATGTTAACAGTGAATAATTATTATTAGATAGTTGGACTACGGGAAATTTGTTTTCTCTTTCAGTGCTGGTGATTGAACCGAGGACCTTACACGTCGTAAGCACATACTTCTCTGAGCTATACTCCCACACCTTTAGAATTTTTCTTTTCTTTTCACCCTTGTTTGTTTTTATATAATGCTGAGGATCGAACCCAGTGCCTCACACGTGGTAGGCAAGTGCTCTACCACTGAGCCACAACCACAGCCCCGAGAGTTTTTCTTTTGTGTCAGATCTCTGTTTTCCAAGTTCTTGACACAGCATCTATTATTTATAATGGGGGATGGGACTGGGAATGAGAAGTCTCAACTGTTATTTTAAAAATGCAATAAAGCCTAATAAACAGAAGGCTACAAAGCCCCTCCCCATTATGAAATAGGCTTTAAATTCTATTCCCTACCTAGAAATGTGAAGTGTTCTTTTCCCACCAGAAAGCTTTCACAAGAGGTGTGGGGTCACACTCTGAATAAAGCAGTTACCCCTATCCACTTGAGGTATATGGGCAGCTGTCCCAAATGTAGAACCTACCTGATTTCCCTGTCCATTGAAACAGGTTTGCCCAAACCAGGACTACGTCACTAAATATTTTCCTTATCTAAACACACGTAGTTATATTATAAATCTCAGAATAAATTGGCTCAGAGAATCCAGTGATTTAAAATATCTTTGCTGTTCCCTTCTGGAAACCCAACTGGAAAATTTTAGTTTTTTTAAAAAGTAGCTCTATATTGGAGTTTATACGTTTAATCATTGGAGATTTTATTGTACACTCTGTTTAATGCAGCAGCATGGCTCTCAGAGGTGAGTTTAGCTACTTACCGGCATACCAAACCCTTGGGTTTCCTTCTTCCATACGACTCACCCATGATTCATTCCAAGAGTGGGCAAAGTCTACCAAGAGTACCAGCTGGATGAGGATGAAGAAAGCAGCCCCCACCATGCCGACAACAAACCACACTACAAACCAAAGGAATGGAGTTATTCTTTCCCACAGGAGGAACATTTCAGAATTACTTTCAACATTCTGAACAGATTTCAATAGACATAGTTAAGACATTCTGTCCCCAGCAGTATAGCAAGACTACTACAATTCCAAACTCAAACAGCATTCTCTGAGCAGTGTCCTATTAGGTTTCAGACCTTTTAAAAACTTGTTTTAGCTTGTGCCAGGGGAGTCAAGGGTCTGACATTCCAACTGGTTCTATATAAGTCCTTTCCTTTACTTTTATGGGTGGGAGATTGCAACAGAAATCCTCAAATGTTACTTGATGCCATGTTAAGGAAGCAAGTTACAAATGACATAATGGAATAGAAGAGTTACAGGTCCTCACATTGACAAGGTTTCTGATTAACTTTATCTTGCCAAGTAAGATGATATGCTATCAAAATATTACCAAAAGATTAGCATATGGTTCCCAAAAAGCTGAGAACAGGCTGAATGCCTCCTGGATTTAATCAATCACTGTTGTAATATTAGTATATCATCTCAGTTAATGGCTGGTTCTGCAAAATCATTAAGGAAAGTGTAGCTCTAAGTCAATCATCTATAAAACTGTACATTTTATAACTAACCCAACAGTAGTGAGCCATACCTGAAGTGAAAGAGCCCCCAGGGATGTAGAAAGATCCAACCATGATACCAACAATGGCAGCAATTTTGAAAAACCAAAACCTATTAAAAACAAAAATGCATTTATGTAATGTTAATTTGAGTTCTTACACTGAGAAACATAAATTTCTAAATGCAAAAATAAAGCCTTAATAGCATTACCAAAATGAATGACTGGCTTATTCATTTGATATGAGGCTACTTCATTCAATATTTCATATAAAGGACATCAGCAGCACAGAAAGTAATTCATTCACATTTATTATAAGAGAAACATGCAAATGTAAGAATCCACTTTTAGCACTTAAAGTAAGGACTTTTCTAGAATTATGGGTTCTAATAGGGTTAGTACATACAGATCCATTAACTACTAGGTTTGTGAGAAAATTTATTACCAAATCCTCCATTTATAACACAGGACATAAAAACCTTGCCCACAATCACACAGCTTATTATTAGCAAAGCCAGGGCCAAATCTGACTTTCAGTGTATCATCTTTTTTTCAATATATACATCTTTTAGTTGTTGATAGACCTTTATTTTACTTATTTATATACAGTGCTGAGACTCGAACCCAGTGCCTCACACATGTCAGGCAAGTGTTCTACCACTGAGCCACAGTCACAGCCCCTCAGTGTATCATCTTTAATAATTGCCTTGCATGGCAGAAGAGAAATCACTGGCTGAAAGATCTCAGGCAAGATATATTTAACCTCTGAAATTCAATTACTGCACCTATAAAAAGGGAGATTACAAGAATTTACAAAACTGTTTTCAGTTTTCAAATGAGAAATATTATATGTGTGTGTGTGTGTGTGTGTGTGTGTGTGTGTATATGGGAAATTGGTGATCAGGAGTAGGAAGAATTAAAGTATGTAAATCAGCAGTCCATATATATATTCACTATCTTTTTCATACACTGCTTAAATGTGTCAAGTACATGTTTCTATTTAAACAGCAGAAAGGAAAATGTGCGTTGTGTGTAGGGCTTAGCATAGTGTCTGACCTGTTCAAAAGTGTTCAACAGGGACAAGGATGTGGCTTGGTGGTAGAGTGCTCTCTAATATGTGAGAAACCCTGGGTTTAATTCCTGGCACTGCAAAAAAAAAGAGGGCAATAAGATAACTCCCTATCCCCTCCATGTTGTAGGGCTCCAGCTGAAAATGACATTAACAATTTCATGTGTATTATAATATAATAAAATAAAAAATACATCCGGCCCACTGATTGACATATTCTACTGCTTTCATCAGAATGGGCGTATTACCTGCTGAAGGAGAGGAAAGGCCACACCATAATACAACGACAAACAGTCTTACATACCCATTGTGTACTGCTGCTCTGGGATCTTTACTTGTTTTTACTTTTAACATGAGCAAAAAGAAGGCAAAGAAAAAGATGGCCAAGGCAAAGTTAATCCGATACACAGCTTTAAAACCGACCAGCACATCACAATCTTTATCTGCCTTTATATCAGCCACACTGATTTTAAATCCCCCTTCGCAGAATCCAGGAATCTGAAGGGAAAAAAAAAATTCCAAAGTTATGGAAATGTTCGTGTTAATCAAAGATTCTATTTCACCATAGGAAAGCCTGGATTTATAAAACTGACCACTTCAGCAACTGCAAGGCTGGCTGTGGGATTTTTTTTTTTTTTTTAATATTTATCTTTATTTAGTTGTAGCTGGACACATTACCTTTATTTTATTTATTTTTATGTGGTTCTGAGGATTGAACCCAGGGCTTCACACATGCTAGGTGAGCACTCTACCGCTGATCTACAACCCCAGCCCTGGCTGTGGGATTTTTGTCTTTTATTTCCCACTGACCAACAATACAGTTTCCAAAGAGTATAAACAACTTGCACTCAAAAACAAAAGTGCTCTCTTCTTTGCTAATGAGGTCATCTCAATTTTCCCATGAGATTTTCCAACTATCAAAGATTCCTCCCAAAGGAGAAGGACTAATCTTGCTTAAAGTTTAAATCTACAAGGAAAAAAAAAAGGCTTAGGATCCCTTTTAAATTCTGTTTTCTCTGGGTTTTGAAACCAGAGCCTGAATCTGTTCATTCTGACCACCTTTATATCTGAAAAAGGACTAATGTCCTAACGACCAAGTCTTGGCTACACTCAAAAATAATTTAAATACATAAAATTAAAATTACAATGATCTTGACTGAATATAACAGTAAAAATAATTAAACTGAAAATAAAATTTAAAAAGTATCTTATCCATCTACTACCAAAAAAAAAAATTTAAAAAAAAGTCAGCAAGTTAAGGGTACTATTATTTCTACTTACCTTCTTCAGCTGAGTTTCCATCCCTTCCGTCAGCATGATACAGGACACAGCAGTTCCCAAGAGGAGAATAAAAGCATAGATGAGTCGAGTCACAGTGGAATTTTTAGTGTTGGGGCAGCAACTACACAACAAGCATGATGCGCCACTGCAGAGGCAGGGGACCTGCAGAGAGAACATCACAAGCAGTCTGAGATCTCCTTCACTGCTCTGGAGTCAATGTTATCTCTGCCACTTTACCTCAGCAAGTTACATAATCTAGTTCTATTTCTCCATCTGTAAAATGGATCTAACAACAGAATTTTCCTCTCTTCCACTTTGCTGAATTAAAAATGAGCATTTAACATAGTGTCTAAAACAAAGAGCCCGATAATTATATCCAGAGAGCATATTTTTTTGTGTTGTAACAATGTAAGAAAGATATAAACTTAACTCCATTTGCTGTTTCCTGAGAATCCCTAGTTGCCAAAGTTGTTACAGCGACCTCTTAAAAAATAATGATAGAGAGCTGGGGTTGTGGCTCAGTGGTGAGTGCCTAGCACGCGTGAGGTACTGGGTTCAATCCTCAGCACACATAAAAATAAATAAATAAATAAAGGTCCAAAATAATGATAGAGGTAGAATGCTTGCCTAGCATGCATGAGGCCCTGGGTTTAATCCTCAGTACTGAAAAATAATAAAAACAACAGTCATTTAGCTTCATTCAAGAATAACAAAAATTTCTCAAAAAGTTAAATATGCATGGTGATACATACCTATAATTCCAACTATTGGGGAGTTGAGGTCACAGAATTACAAGTTTAAGGCCAGGCTGGAAAACTTAGGGAACACTGTCTCAAAATAAAATAAAATGGTCTGGGGCTATAGCACAGCAATAGAGTGCTTACTTAGCATGCACAAGGTCCTAAGTTCAATCCCCAGTACCAGAAAAAAAAAAAAAAAAATCAAAACACAGAATTACCATCTGATCAAGTTTTTCCATACCTAAGTATAAACACTCAAAGAAAATGAAATACTTATTCATACAAAAAGATAAATGTTCCCAGGAGCACTATTCACAATCAACAAAAGTAGAAACAACCCAAATATTCATTAACTACCAAGTAAATAAGGTATAAGTAAAATGTGGCATACCCATACAATGCATTATTCAGGTGTATAAAGGAATAAAGTACTCATACATAGTACAATATGGTGTGTGTGTGTGTGAGAGAGAGAGAGAGAGAGAGAGACAAACATGACATTAGTAAAAGAAGCAGACATAAAGGGTCACATACTCACTGTATTATTCCTAAAGAATATGGAAAATAACATCCCCCAAGAAAAGAGAAATGCAGTCCCCAGGGAGAAAAGGAGGACAGTATGATCTGGGAGGGGAGAGGGGAAGGCAAACATTAGGCCCTGGGCTATGGTCTTTCATCCTTTCCCAAGGACAATGGGTCCAGAGAGAAAAGGTAAACAAAGGGGCTCAGGGCTGTGGATTTTTATCCCAGTAACAATGAGTTTCAAGCTTTTACAGCTGTTTTCCTGAGTTAGATTTTTAACCTACACAACTAGTTTCCTGACTGCCCAGGAAGTCCCAAGTCTCTAATGATTAAGTCACACTAAACATTCTGCTATGATTAACTTTCATTAAGACCTATAAAAAGCAGACCCCTCTTATAACCAGTTACCATTTTCTCCAAAGTAAATGTGCCATGTGTCATTCACTGCAGCCTACTAAAGTCAGCTTGCAGATCGTGAGGTCTGGTCTCGTTTTGGGTTATTTTTGCTTATAATTCCATTTATATGAAATATTCAGAAACAAAGACTAGGAGTTGAGGAAAAGGGGAATAGGGAAATGTAGATGTTCTGGAATTAGATGTGATGGCAATACAATACTAAAACCACTAAATACCACTGGATGATACACTTTAAGATTAGCCAGGCGTGGTGGCGCACACCTGTAATCTCAGTGACTAGAGAGACTGAGGCAAGAGGATCACAAGTTTGAGGCCAGCCTCAGCAACTTAGTAAGACCCAGAGCAACTTAGCAAGATCCTGTCTCAAGGTAATAAGCTTGGGGATGTAGTTCAGTGGTAAAGCATCTCTGGAACTCAATCTCCAATACCAAAAAATAAACAAACAAATAAGAATCAATATTATGCTATGTGACTTTTACTTCTGATAAAAAAAAAAAATCAGCTGAAACAAGCAACCCAGGGGAAAGGATATAATTTGAAACATTTATATACATACTTGATTAGGAAATTGCTTGACTGGCTTTTGACAGGTGAGGTTATCAAGTCACTTGACAAAGTCAGGCTAATTCAGAATTAGCAGAAGTAGATGTAAACAATGGATCACTTTGGCTTTACAATATGGTCCCAATAATAATTTTTTGTTTTTAACAGATGATACCTTGTGTGAACTTCACCAGGATTTTGTAAGGTTTGGAGCAAGCTGCTAAACTTAAAAGCCTAGTTTTCTCATCTGTAAAAAAGAATATAATACCACCTACCTGAACAGGGTTACTGTGTGAAAAATATGACGACGTCCAGAATATAAATATACACTGAGTCCCTTCTATATATTTATTGTGTAATTCCAATAGCTAGTAAGAAACAGACCAAGCCAGTCTCAGGCCCAAACACCAAAATGAAGTCTGTATCTGGTAACAGAAATACAGAAATTTTGACCCAGCATAATGATACATACTATAATCCCAGTAACTGGAGGGAAGGAGCAAGACCCTCCCTCAAAAGTTAAAAAGAGCTGAGGGTGTAAGTGCAATGGTAGAGCACTTGGCTAGCATGTATGAGGCCCTGGATTAAACCCCCAGTGCTGCAAATAAATAAATAAAACAGGCAAAAACTGGCACTAATTCTTCAGGCTTATTTTATCTATACTCACCCACTATCTCCCTTTAGCTATGTTTTGCCTGATAAATTCAAACAATTTCACAGTAATCACCTACTGTCTGTTATGGGTTGAACTGTGCTCTCTCTAATGGTGAATTCCTAATTCCCAGTATCTCAGATTGTGACCAATTTGGAAACAGGGTCGCTGCAGATGTAGTAAGATAAGGCATATTGGTGTATACCCAATATGACTACTGTCAGTCATAAAAAGGAGAAATGTGGACACAGATTTGCAACACAGGGTTGCGATGTGAAGATGAAGACAGAGCTTAACAGGCCAGAGGATGTCAAAGACCACCAGCAAACCCAAGAGAAGATATGGCAGGGAAAAGATTCTCCCAAATTCAGAAGGAATCAACCTTGTTGACAACCTTAACCATTCTGTCCCATTGTCCCAGATGTGGAAGACTTACAAAAACTTAAAATGAACAACAAATATACTGCTTATGGCAACTGAAATATTTGACTATTATTTTTGCAGAACTGAAAACTTGGACTTAATGAGTTAATCTTGGACTTCCAACCTCCAAGAATTGAGACAATAAATTGCCTTTGTTTAAGTCACCCAATGGGTAATACCTTGTTATACAGTCCTAGCAAACTAATACATCCATTTATTTACCAACTATCATACCTGTAACTAACCACCTTTAGTGTTCTATCTCCTGCCATCTTTACATAGTAAAAATGAGTAAATGTGCAACAAACCTGTCCTATGTGTTATATCATTTCACTTTTCCATTGAAAGACAACTCTTCTTTTTCAGGTGTTGGGGCCCAAAACCCAATCATCCTGGATGTCTTTTCATTTTCCAAAATCCTCAACCAGTTTGTCAGCGCATCAGCACCATCGCCAAAGTATAACCAGGATTTGACTTCCTTCATAGCATCCTTTACTGTCACCTTGGTTCAAGCTACAACTATCAACTCTCATCTGGATTATGCATAAACTCAATCTCACTGCTGTAGGGACCCAGTGGGGCCCCTGAAGTGGTATAAAGATTACTTTAAGCTGAAGACACTGGATAGTCAATAAATGCAGGGAGGAAAAGGCCTTCTCAGAACTTTCCTCAACTGACTAAAAGCAGCAACTCCTGGGAAATCTCCTAGGCTGCCATATATTCCTGTTCCAGGGGAGTTTAAAGAAGTACCTTTCACCTCTGTAAACAAGCATTATTACAAATCTTATCTGCCATTTACCCTCCTAAAAACTCTGTCTTTCCTAGGGGAATAAAAACAAAACAAAACAAAAAAACAACTATTTGTTCTTCCTATAGAAGCCTCTTTGTGTCTCCTATAAAGTCAGGGATATAAGCTCCTTTGAATTACTCACTAACTATTCCAGTGTGTATGTCTGCTACAAATTATAAACTCTTTTTAGAAAACCCAAAGACAGGGCTGGGAATGTGGCTCAAGCGGTAGCGCGCTCGCCTGACATGAGTGAGGCCCGGGTTCGATCCTCAGCACCACATACAAACAAAGATGTTGTGTCCGCTGAAAACTAAAAAATAAATATTAAAAAAACTCTCTCTCTTTAAAAAAAAAAAAAAAAAGAAAAGAAAAGAAAACCCAAAGACAAATGGGATGCAGTGGTACACAATGTAATCCCAGCTATTTGAGAGACTGAGACAGGAGAACTTCAAGTTTTAAGGCCAGTCTCCATAATTTAGTGAGATACTCTCAAAATAAAAAGATCTGGGATTTAGCCAAGTGGTGAGTACCCCTGGGTTCAATCCCCAGCACCACAATAAGTAAATAAATAAATAAGACCCTGTATCGAAATAAAAATTTTAAGAAAAGGCTGAGATGTATCTCTGAGGTACAGCACTGCTGGGTTCAATCTCCAGTATTATGGGGAAAAAAACATTAAACATCTATATTTTTTTCCCTCTTGCTAATCTCTCTTTTGTGAGTTTAGGAGGGAGTTTTTCCTTCCCTATATTGTTTTATCCTTACGTTTCCACTATCTATTCCCCACACAGCAACTAGAACCCATCTTGTTAAAACACATGTCAGATTATGTCAATCCTCTTTTCAAACTCTGCAATGGCTTCCCTTATCACTTAAAAGTAAAAGCCAAAGTCCTTAAACTCTGTAAGACTGGGCTGGGAATGTAGTTCTGTGGTTCAGCGAACATGTCTTTAGCATGTCCAAGGTCCTGGGTTCAAAAGAGACAAAACAAAACACAACCCAGTAAGACCATATAATGGATATCCGTGTGATTTCCATTTGTTTTTGTTTCTGTTTTTGTTTTCTCTTGCTGGGGATGGAACCCAGGACCTCCAGCATGCTAAGACAAACACTCTTCTGCTGAGTGAGTCCCCTGCCCCCACTGCTGCCTTTCTTACTTAATTTCCTGTTATTCTTCGAACTCACTCCACTCTGGTATAATAAACTCCTTGACATTCCTACTGAATAAAAGGACTGATAAATATAAAAGCCATTTCTAGATATAGCATCAATTAAAATCCTAGTTTGAACTCAAAGCCAAAATGTTTTTCAGGTTATCAAGATAGGAAAGACATTTTGTTTCAAAATACCAATCAATTCACTCCTTAGTATCAATATTGTTAAGTATATATTTTAACTATTTTGTAAGTAGATTTACTCCATTAGTGACTGTAAAAATCAACTAGTGAGGGCTAGTGGCTCAGTGATACTGTTTGTCTAGCATGTGTGAGGTACTGGGTTTGATCATCAGCACCACATAAAAATAAATAAAATAAAGGTATTGTATTTATCTACAACTAAAAAATTCTTTTAAATCAACTGGTAAAGATTTTTCAGTTTAATGTAATAGAAAATAAAAAAAAAATTGTAAAGTTAAGAACTACTTCGTTAAACTTAGGGTGCAATGGATGAACTACGTAAAGTGAATTTTAGCATTAGATGAACTACATAAAGTGTATTTAAGTCAAGATCAAAAAACTGCTCAAGAAACCCCTAAATGGCTTAACTTCTTTTTTTCTCTTAAGATAAACAACCTTGAAAGATAGAAAATATTTTCTGTCCCTAAGAAACAGTAGTGGAATGTGCTGAGACCGAATCTTTGGTCAATTGCATCATTTAGGGAATTAAGAAACAATTAGGAAATGATTCAAGGAACCATGCTCCTCTGAAGCATAAATAAGGAAATTCAACATATTCTCTTTCAAAAATCCTAACATCTTCTTTTCAAAATGTTTACCGTTTACAAAGTGATTCACTTTGTCACGTTATCTGCACAGCAGTTCTCGATGTGAGGAATAACAGTGTTTTTCCTCCAGAAAAATAACCTGTACAGGTCCCAAAATGATAAAGGCCACAGCCTCCAGTTTTGGTGAGCCACCCTTGCACCAGAACCGCAGGCAGGCTTTGGTTAAAATCCCAATCCTGCCACGTACTCCGTAGCTTTGGCAAATCCCGTGTTATGGAATAAAAACATGATTCAAACCGCCCAAAATTAAAGGACGCCACCTTAAGAAGAGCTTCCAAATGAACCCACGGGCCCCCGCGGCAAGGCTCCCATTCCTTGGTACCACTCCAGCGCCCAAGGAACATAGAGTCCAGAAGGTTCGCGGGGGCTGGGCAATCGGAATTGTAAACAATGGCAGTTAGGCCTCCCACGTTCCTCCGTGAATGCGGAAGGCGACCCGAGCAGCTCCAAGCCCACCTGGGGACATCGTAGACTGTGGCCTAGACCCTCCAGACCTCCGCAGCCCCGGGCCTAGCTCCTTCTCCCGCGGGCACCTGGGGCCGTAGCCCGTTCGGATCTGGGATACGGACCATTACCATTCCCTGAATACCACAGGTCCGTCGAGGACACAGGACTCCGAACTTACCCAGCTGGCGAGGGAGAAAACGCCCAGCACAGCCCCCATGGTGATGCTGTAATGGAGGTGCCCGGTCCGGATGGAGGTGCTCACACGATGTTAACTGCCAGCTGAGGCGTCGCCCCAGAAACGCGACGGTATCTCGGGCCGGAAGTACAGCCCACCCCCTCCCACGACGCGCGGTTTGCGTCATTGCGTGGTCCCGCCCACTATCCTCCGCAGTAGCTGCCTAGAGGGCACCTGTGATTGGCAGGAGATGGGAGAGGCGTGGCTAAATCTGCCTTGGGGGCAAGACCTGCAAAAGCTGCTTTCCTATGTCTATTGTATTACTGGGAGGCTGATCTGAAGATCAGGGGTGTCGGGAAGTGCATAGATGTGCACAAAGAGACACGCTGTCTACCCTCATAGAACTTGTGACCTAGGTTGAGGAGACTGACGATGAACATAAATGCATCAAGCCATAGTGTGATGAATACTGTGAAGAAGTAGTATAGGGAATATTTTTTCAATAAAAGAATAGCTTAGTGGTAGAGTACTCTGGGTTGGATACACAGCACCAGGGAGAAAATGCATAATTATATATATTATATTTGTATATAAGTTGTATGTATTTTATAAAATTATATGTATAATTAAATATATATTTAAGTGCCCACTTTATAAGGGAAATATAGTTTAGTTGGGAAGTAGTCATAGAAGTCTTTTCTGAGTAATTTATATTTGACTTGTGAACAGAAGGATGGATCCAAGTTAACCAAGAAATGTTTCCTATGTCAAAGGACAATTCTGGGTTCAATTCCCAGTACTGGGGGAAAAAAAATAACGTCATTATGTTTTTTGGTGGTCATAAACTGAACTTTCTATGAAGAGTAAAGACAGATGGCAGAAGTTGGAGCTGTTAGAAAACATGAGCCTTCTTGTGGGTTCTGAGATTATGGTTTAGTGTTTTCTTCTGGAAGGGCCAAGTGAAGTTAATGAAGCTACAAATGATCAATCCTGGTAAACAGTGAAAACTGGCAAGCTTTGTAGGGTTTCAGAGGTTGAGTCCATAATGAAATAGACCCAAGATGAAGCAGAATATAATGACAGAAGGGCACAGCACAGGAAAGCAGCCACATGGCAACTAGGAATCATCACTGATCCGATAAATAAACATGTTTCAAGCAAATTGAGATTTCCCCCTTCTAGGAACACAGGCTTAACAGATAAGCATCCTACAAAGCAAGTAGAGATACCCCCCTGAGCAGCTGCATCTCCTGGGCACCAAATGGAGATTCCCCTCAGTGGCAACCTCCTTGCCACTTGACAAAGCTCTGTGTACTGTACAAACTCCTCAACTTTCACCTTTATTCTTTTCCCGCTTTGATCCCAAGCCTGCTGCAACACCCAATGCCCTTAAATCTGTCTTCCAGGTGTGAAATACTGGAATTAATGGTTCCTTTTCCTGCTTCACCATCAACTTCTCCACCTTTTTTTTCCTGGGGATTTGAGTGGCCAGACCAAGTCATCAGGGATCCTGGAGTTCAGCTTCTATCTGGGACCCTGGTAACAATTACACAGGTATCTGATGAGGGCAAGTACAGTACTAAGCAGTACATTACTAGGCTATGCATGATTAATTGCTAGGACAATTGTAAAGAGTCTTAGAAGCTGCTTTTGCTACAAAGCACTGACTCTTCAGTTGGGCCTGCAAATGTAACTAAGGGCAGGATTAAGCCTGGTATCTCCACCTTCATTTTGTATCTTCCTGCCTTGCTACCTTAAACTTTGGGTCAGATTACTGCTCAGCTCTGCATGTAGGCAGGTTAATCACTTAAGTCTGTGTAAAAATTGGTATTTCTAGGTTTGTGACCCCTATATTTACATAACCTATCTAGTCCCCCTTCAAGACTGAAGACACCAAGATAAGAATAAGGCATTTTTAAGATTTGCAAGGACATTCAACAATCAGCTTTTAAAAGGTCCTGTCCAGTCCCTCAGGAGAGGTGCCCAGAGGTCTTCAGTCATTACCCTAAACTTACTCAGTCACATTGGATTCCAGGAACAGCAGAGCCTTGTAAGCAGATCACCCCATGATAAGATCACCTCCCCAAGGGGGAGCAATTACCCCACGACAGGAACTTAGGCTGCTCTCCTAAGCAGGAACAGTCATCTCACAAGAACTGGATTGTCCCTTAAAACATTAAACACTTCTCCTGGAGCCACCTTGCAGAACAAAAAACTGAGATAATGATCGGCAGGACCAAGACTGCTTAATTATGCACACTTCTCGCTCCCTGCCCCAGTTCTTCCTCTATTTAAACTTAAAGCTCATGTCAGCACCCCCAAAGACATGACTACAGACTCCTGTTCTCTCTTGTCTTCTCAATGTAGCTAGATTGATTAAATTCTTTCCTATTTCATCATTATTTTTGTTTGTGTGTGTGTTTGGGGGAGGGTGGAAGTGGCAAGACCGAATTTGTTGGGACTACCAGAGTCAGGCCTCTAGCCTAGGACTCCAGTGACACTATCTCTTATGGGAACAAAGCTGTAGTCAAAACTAATTAGCTTTACTGGACTGAAGGTATAGCTCAGTGGTAGAGTGTTTTCCACGCACGTGCAAGCCCCTGAATTGGATTCTGACACTTCTCCCCCGAATTAGGTTCATTGAGCTTATTCAGCAAGGGAGAACACACACCAGAGACACTAGGAGATGTCTTGGTAAGATGTAAGTGGGAGGAGTTTATTTTAGGACTTGTGTTTATGCAGCTAATGCTAAGGAAATAGGGATCTGTTTTGCACCGGACACGGTCAAGTAGGTGGGCCAGTTCAGTGACTAGGTATCTAATCATTTTTATCCAGGAGGTAGGAGGATTAAAGGTTGGAAAAGCAGCAGAACCCAGTCATGTTACAAGAGGAGATATATAGTTATATTTATGGGGCCAGAATGGTCTTGGCTCTAGTTTCGACCACAGAGTAGCCTTATCTGGCATTTGTTTATATTTTGTGATCACTGTTTATGTTCAGTTAGGACATTGGGCCTAGCTGCCAGCAGAATAGTTTTTTTAATTTGTTTTGTTTTTGACTTTTTGCAGTGGTGGGGATGGAAGTCAGAGCCTCATGCACATTAGGCAAGCGCTCCACCACTGACCTATAGCCCCAGCCTTCATTTTTCATTTTCTTTCTTTTTTTTTATGTTTACATATTCTTTTTACATTTACATAAATAAAATACATTTTATTTATTTATTTTTACATGGTGTTGAGGATTTTAAACCAGGGCCTCACACATGCTAGGCAAGCGCTATACCACTGAACTACAGACCCAGCCCTCATTTTTCATTTTCTTAACTGCGAGTGTTTATACTCCCATATATGTGATACCATCCATCTCTTTAGTGCTTCTGGTCTTTAGATAGTTGTGGGTCTACTCTAGTTGTCAAAAATTTGAAGGGCAGATCTTTGAGATCATCTACTTCAATTTATCACCTCATGCAGGACCCCCTCAACATCCCTTATAGGATATAAGATTCACTGACAACCAAGGAAGCTCCTCACATCTTTTTTTTTTTAAACTGCATAAAAGAGTATTGTCAGGGACTAGAAGGAAATTCTCCTTCAAAGATTAGCCTGACAGCCCCCTGGGAGACATCCTGCCTGGGAGGCATCCTGCAGCTACTTATCTCACCTGAGACATCCTGCAGCCACCTATCTTCCTGAAACCTATCTTCCTGAAACATCCTGCGGTTATCTCACCTTGTGCAGACATCCAGCAACTGCCGATAAGAGAGCTTCCCCATTCCCACCATATAAATACCCCTGTGTGAACAATAAAAGTTTGCAGCTTGATCAGAACTTTTGTCTTGCTGTCACCTTTCGTGTCTCTTGTCCCTTCATTCCTCCCCATCTAGGTTCGCTGCCCACGTTGATGTGTCCTGCCGGACGGGACAGAGTATGCAGTGAAATAAAGTGTCCTTCCCATCTTACCACTCCCAATCTTCCAGATCTCCTTCCAAAGTTTGTGTATACTTATGCTAGCATTATCTACTACACCTTTTTAGACATGGTACTATTCCAAATACATGGTGCTGTACATTGCTTTTATTCACTTAACTTATTCATTCAATAAATATTTACCAAGCTCTTACTATGTATCAGGCACTATTTCCAGTGATAAGAACAGTAAGGAACAAAACAAAGTACTTCATGGGCTGGGATTGTGGCTCAGCAGTAGAGCGCTTGCCTAGTAAGTGTAAGGCACTGGGTTTGATTCTCAGCACTGCATGTAAATAAATAAATAAAAGTATAGGTCTATCAAGAACTCATAAAAATATTTTTTTTAAAAAGTACCTAACCTTAAAACAAACTTAATCCTAGTGAAGAGATAAGTAATAAAGAAACATAACCATCAGACGTTAACAAGATTAGTGAAGAAAGAAAAGAAGAAAAAGAGAATTCAGATTTGTGGGGATCTACTGATTTTTTTTTTTTCCTTTGAGACTGGATCTTGCTGTGTTGTACAGGCTGGACTTTAACCAGAAGTCCTCTTGCCTTAGCCTCACTGAGTGGCTGAGACTACAGGCATGTGCTACCATACCTGGCTCATTAGTTTACTAATTTAAAGAGAGTTCAGGGGCTGAGATTATAGCATAGTGGTAAAATTCTTGCATCACATGCACAAGGTCCTGGTTCAATTCCTAGTACTGCAAAATAAACAAAGAGGAGGCAGGACATGTTTTTTGGGGATGGGATATAAGAGCAGAGACATGAAGGAAGAGAGGACCCAAGCGATAGGGCTATCTGGAGGAAGGCTGGTCCCAGTGTGGACCAGCAAAAGCCAAGACATCAAACCCACAAAAACAAGACAAGACAAAAGAAAAACACAAGGCTAGTGTGCTGCAGCATGGACAGGCAGGAAAATGGTGAGAGGTGAGGTTGGGCAAGTGTTCAGGGGATAATTCACCTAAAGGGATTGTTAATTACAACAAATCTAGATTTTATTATAAAGGTGATGCAAAGCCGTTAAGAGGCTTTAAACAGAATATCATGGAAACCAGATTTAAAGATAGGTAGTTAGTGTAATTAGGTAAATTGGGTCTAATATAGAGTAAGATACATAAAATGGAGACCATTATAGAGAACGGAGTCCAGGA